GTTATTAGTAAATTAATTTGATAGTTAGTCAATGATAATATTGTTGTTCCTAAAATGTTGAATCCCCAACTCTAAGGGTCCTACGCCTCGCCCAACAGAGCATATGAGAGGATGTAAATCATGGCAAATTATGTTGTGCATCCGTATGCACCATGCATGGATGAAAAAACGACGTCGTTTTGCATCAAAACGCGCGTCCTATGTTGGTACCGTTGGTAGAAAAACACAAATAATAATCAAATTAAAATTGACTATTATTTTCTAGAAAGAAGAGAAGAAAATATGAAGAAATTTGGCTAGTGTTTGGTGTTGGGTTTTTGCAAGAGTCAAGTGAGCACTCATTCCTTAAAACCTTATTTGCCACCTCCCAAAGATGCTAGGAGCGTTGTGGCCTAGGCTTCTCAGGATAAAACTTGCTAATGATTCAATGTTTGAGCACTCAAACAAAGAATCCGACGAGCAAGACGTGGTTATGAACACAGTAGGCAAAGAAAGGGAGTAGAAGCAGAATTTTGAGGTTGGAAAACAATATTTCGTGTACAGTGATAGTGCTGTAGTGTTGTTAAAAATATGCTTCTCACTACCTCTCTTATATAGGGGTGAAGGAGCCAATAGCTTTTAATGAGGCACTTTAAGGCACCCCCCTTGTAACATTCAAAAATAAAGATTGGAATTAATTCCGTAACAGTAAGAATTGAACCCAACGGTCACAGAAAGGCCTTGGTGCTTGTGTCAAGCCATCTCTGCGAGTTGGAATTTGATTTGCACCACCCCCCCCCCCCCCCTCGCGCGAGAGAGCCTCTATGCTATACAATTCTACAAGCTTCAAAAGAGCTCTTGTATATAAGGGGGAAAAATCTTCATTCCAAAGCAATGTGGGACAAAAGCTCACTTTTTCCCTTCATTTTCCAACTCAAATGGGTCTACTTTGAGAATCAATATCTCATTCACCCATTATCCGTTTTGAGCGTACAATATATCAATCTCTTCGTCTCACTACGAAGTATCCGAATCCACTTTGACCCGACCCAAATCGGAAGTGGACCCCACTGATAATTGTACCACAAAATAGCCACTTAACATGCCATTTTAAGCTATTTTTTCCAACATCCTACTTAAAAAAAAATCAGTTTCAATTCCCAGCAACAACATTATGTTATTCATTTTTTAGTTCATTCATTCTGGATTTTTAGTTATGAAATTCTGGATGTATAGTTATGCAATTCTGGATGTATAGTTATGCAATTCTGGATGTGTAGTTATGAAGTTATGGATGTGTAGTTATGCGATTCTGGATTTATAGTTATGAAGTTATGGATGTGTAGTTATGCAATTCTGGATGTATAGTTATGAAGTTATGGATGTGTAGTTATGCAATTCTGGATTTATAGTTATGAAATTATGGATGTGTAGTTATGTAATTCTGGATGTATAGTTATGAAATTATGGATGTGATGAAATTATGGATGTGTAGTTATGCAATTCTGAATTTTTAATTTTTTTTTTTTAAAGTTAGACGTCAAAACGACGTCGTTTTTGTACCGTATGCACCATGCATGATGCAATGCACAACATAACGCTCCGTAAATCATGATAACTCAGTTGAATACAGAGGCTAGATCTTTGTTTACTGCATACAAGGAACCCCCTTCACTTTATGTCGTTGTTCCCACACTGCAACTGATGAAACTCGATTCCGGACCATTGTTCTCAAAGTTCACTTCTGTGACCAACTGCTGCTCATGCGAGCTAGCTAGTCAATCATAATATGTTACGCTAGATGAGGGAAAAAAAAAAAAAAAGTGTTCCGATTATATGTATTGATGGATTTGATGAGGCTTAGGCAACCTGGCTGAATTAGTAGGTGACGTTATAGATTTAATTTTCATTTGTAGTGATTCAAACATACTCTTAGAGTCACGTACTAATGCCACTAAACTAATAAGATCTTTGACACCTTATCCCTTTTTCTTTTTTTTTTTTGGTAGGATCTTTGACACCTTATCAATATAAGCAGAATTACTCCGCATTTTATGATTAATTGAATTTGGGTCATATTGTAAACACTTTTAATAGTTTTAATTTTGTCTGAAATCTCTCCCATCCTTTTGATCCAACAAATATATAACTAATACTATATATATATATATATATATATATATATATATATATATATATATATATATGTATGTATATGTATATATATATATATATATATATATATATATATATATATATATATATATATATATATATTGAGAACAATACTATATTTCTATTCAAATAATTTTGAAAATGATATGCAATAAATGAATAATCGGATCAGTTAATGGGTCAACCATCCAACTAAATGGACCCGTATTTAGATTGAAGCAGGCCGGAGATCCAATTGGATCGTTTGAATGTTGGATGATATGGCCCAAATGTTTTTTACTATCCCTACAAATCTACAATTATCAATAGTTATGCTGTGCAACCGAATGTACCATGCGCATGGTGCATACGATGCAAAACGACGTTGTTTTGACTAAAAACGCGCATCCCACTTAAAAAAAAAAAAATCATGTTCGATTCTCGGCAATTGCATTATTGTGGATATATAGTTATGAATTTCTGGATATATAGTTATAAATTTGTAGATATATAGTTATGAATTTATGGATATTTAGTTCATTCATTGTGGATATTTAGTTCATTCATTGTAGATATTTGCTTCATTCATTCACTATGGATATATAGTTATGAATTTATGGATATATAGTTATGAATTTCTGGATATATAGTTATGAATTTATGGATATTTAGTTCATTCATTGTGGATATTTAGTTCAATCTATGTTGATATTTAGTTCATTCATTGTGGATATTTAGTTCATTCATTGTGGATTTTTACTTCATTCATTCATTCATTGTGGATTTTTACTTCATTCATTCACTGTGGATATAAAGTTATGAATTTGTGGATATATAGTTATGAATTTCTGGATATATAGTTATGAATTTCTGGATATATAAAAATGCTATTGCCGGGAATCGAACCTGGTTTCTTCTTTAAGTGGGACGCGCGTTTTTTTTTAACCAAAACGGCGCCGTTTTGCAACCGTATGCACCTTGCAAGGTGCATTCGGTTGCACAGCATAATTTGCGTACAATTATACTGTGGACAGCGGTCCAAAAACGACACCGCTTCTTTAAGTAATGAAATGTTGCGTTGTTACAGTTAAAGGAGTGCACATGTTTGGTGTATTAATTACCGACTGAAATTACAGTGTGTCTAAACTGACTCTGCTTCACGTATTATTTTTATATTATCAAATGAAACTATGTATATAAAATGAAACTGAATAACATTTCACATATTTGAGTGTATATTGTGCAATAAAACTGTAGTTATATCGAAATGATAATGTAGTTGTGTTTTAATGAAACTATAGTGTATATAAAATAAAATTAAATAACATTTCTACATATTTGAGTGTATAAATATCGAATGAAACTGTAGTTATATCGAAATGAAACTGTAATTGTATACAAAATGAAACTGCAGTGTATACAAAATGAAACTGAATAACAGAGTTACTTTTTGCGAAACGGCACAAAACGGGTGCCGTTTCTTTTCACGACATTGTTTAGAAGTCCGGTACATAATCCATTATGCATCGCGGTGCACGATATAATTTGCCCTATTTTGTCCTCAACAAATGAACAATTCATCAATTCAAGGAGAAAAAATGAATTGCCTTCTTGGTCTCGATGTTAAGATCAGGATCTTTATGTCTTTTTTTTTTTTTTAATTATTTTTTAAATGACACCTTCTATTATTCATTAATCAACATTATAATATCTCAATTTATCATTTCATGTCTTTTTACATTTGACATATTTAACAACTAATTTTACTATTAATTTAATTTCAATCACTTACTTATTATCTACTAGTTTGTTAGTTAGATATGTCAAATAGAGCTGTGATGAGGTGTGTCTTAAAGTTCATTGACTTAGGTTTCCTTCAAAAAAGTGGAAGCATTAAGATTAAATAGATTAGACTGTTTTTATTATTTTTATTTTTATTTTTTAGTTATTCAAATAATAAATAACATAGTCACATTTCATTCACTCAACTTGTGGATAACAAATATTAACCGGCCTCACACATTTTACTTATTCTACCTATCCACCATGAACCAAGAATTCAAACCAATTGAAAGTCAATTATTGCGTGTGACCTATCCACTTCGATCCAAGTCGGTAGATAGCAGGACAAACGTGGGAACTTATTATGCTAAGCAATTAATGGCAAGTTATTACTTATTAATCCCAACCATTTCAATAACCATGAGTCATACTATACATAGTTTACTTTTTAATTCTTTCTTTCTACTAAAGGATTAATATAGAATTCGGCTCCCGAGTAGTTTGATGTGTTCCGTGCGGTTAAATTTGAGCTATTGATTTTGTCTAAATTAACGTTCAAAATGACAGTTGGATCTTTTTGTATCTAGGTCAAATTTAAGGTGAATGGTTTTTCTTCTTAAGGTGAGTCAGTTCTTGAAACTTAAGGTGTGTCGACCTAAAACTTTAGGTGCGTCATTTTCCTTCTTAAGGTGCGTGATTTGTATGCTTAAGATGCGTCAGTTGTTGAAACTTAAGGTACTCCATTTTAAAATTTTAGGTGTGTAATTTGTATTCTTAAGGTGCTTTGTTTGTGTGCTTAAGGTGCGTGATTTATGTACTTAAGGTGCATTATTTTAAAATATTAAGTGCGTGATTTGTGGTCTTAAGGCGCTTTGTTTGTGCGTGATTTATGTACGTAAATGCGTCATTTTAATGCTTAAAATGCATCTTTTTATGTTAACCGTATAAAAAATAATATTTTTACCTGATCCACTCCGAGAACTAATATATGTCAAGAGCTTTGTACTCACATGACACTTTGTATTTACTCTTTTAGAGTTGACTTTATGGGTTGTTTTTGTTTCTTAAAAAAAAAAAAAAAAAAAATCTCTTTTCGTTATCATTTTCGCAGTAACAAATAACAATTCTGGGAACTGGGAATTGACCACATGCTGTGTTTGGGGATATTGTAGTGTGTAATCAATGGCGGACGGCCGGCGGTGTTCCATAAATTTATCGCACTTTTATCTTCCTCGTAATTGTCTGGCCGACACGGTTTTGATTGTTTGTCAAAAACTATGATAACTTTGTCGTCTGACCAACGACCCAACCGCCATTTTAGTGTTGTGTTTCCACCTCCATTAACCCATTTTCTCCGGCGACTTGCGGCTTAACTGCTCCGGCAAAACCGTGCGAATGGGGCTAATGATTCATTCCTCCTCCTTCCTCCTCCCGACCGTTCCCGCCGCCGACAACCGCCCTGCTCCCACGTACGCGCTTGTCGTCCTCAACCAAAGCCTCCCTCGATTCACTCATTTGTTATGGAAGCACGGTAATTTTCTCCTCTCCTTCTGGTTTATCTTCTGCTACGTACAATTGCGCGTTCTTGTGTTCATGGTTGCGGGTTGTTGTGTAGCGCAGCACGGCTTCGTGTCTGCGCCGACGGGGGTGCAAATAGAGTGTTCGATGAATTGCCGCAGTTGTTTCCTGATGAAGATGCCTCTGATGTTCGTAAAAGGTTTGGCTTTTTGCTCAATATCGTGATATTTGATATGCATCCCAGTCAGATCTTTATGCATATTGCAGTTATGTGCTTTTAGAGTCTTGCTTTTCATGGTTTCTTTTGGCTTTTATTGGCAGTGGAATCATAGAGAGAAATATGTCTATTGGAGCTATGCTTTTGGCTTCTAGCCCTTTGTTGTTGACCTCTGTTGAAAGTGTTTAGCCCATATTTGGGTATCCAAACTAGGCCCCAAATTCCCCAGAAACCATAGACTTTGATGCCTTTTTTTTTTTTTTTTTCTTTATTGTAGCTTTCTTGTTTCTTAGTGCATTTTGCATTAGATCACAGCCTTCATTGCAGGTACACACCTGATGTCATAAAAGGGGATCTGGACTCGATCCGAAGTGAAGTTCAAGAGTTTTATACTGGCCTTGTAAGCTTGCAGAGTTACTCTTCTGGCACATTCTTTGTTGCATATATAGGACCATAGAGGTGTTTGTTTATCTGTCTTAGGGAAGATCCAAGATTCTCGTAATGCTTTCTACCTTTTGTTCATGGAGTTTTCTGAGTCGGTGCAGGGATCGAAGGTTGTTGATGAATCTCATGATCAGGACACCACTGATATGCATAAATGCATTGCTTACATTTGTGATTTACCTGAACTGGAAACCCCGAATGTAAGTTCAATACTTCAATCTCTCTTAAGTTCCATAATCTATAGCCATAACAGAAACCCAAATGCTATGTATACTAGACAACAGTGAAATCAATCTTTTCCTCTAATTAATCGATTAGTTTCCCTCCACCCACCTTTGATCCTATTTAGGATTGGTGGAATGTTTGTTGTTCAGATGCAACTTTATATTTTATATCCTGAGCAGAATCATGGAACAAAAAAAGTGTCTCTTTTGAGCGATTTATCGACATAAAGTTTAACTGTAGCATTGATCTCAATTTCTATATGATTGTAGTTATGCATTCTTGTTGTTGGAGCACTTGGTGGAAGGTTTGATCATGAGATGGGAAACGTCAATGCCCTCTGTCATTTCACAACCACGCGAATAATTCTCCTGTCCGATGATTGCCTCATCCAACTTCTTCCGAAAACCCATCATCACGAGATCCATATTCACCCCTCTGTCGAAGGCCCACACTGCGGCCTCATTCCCATTGGATCGCCTTCCGGGAGCACCACAACCACTGGGCTCGAGTGGAATCTAGGTGAGCAATGAGTATGGTTAAGATAAGACCTTCTGCCACTCTTCCCTTTAGGCTTTAGTGCAAACCCACAGTGAAGAGTCTTGAGTTCTGATTCTGTGTTCTGTCATTTTCTGTTGTCAGATAATACTGAAATGAGGTTTGGAGGTTTAGTCAGCACATCAAATATTGTCCAAGAATCAGTGGTAACAGTGCAATCTGACACTGATCTTCTTTGGACTATCTCTCTCAAAAAGGCATGAGTTTTAGTATATATACCACAGAAATGGCAACATCTTATTAGTTTTTGCTGTAGAAATTACCTTGGCTTGACTACTAGAGATGCAACATATTTGTCACAGGTTTCTTGTCCTTTGACTATCAAGAACAAACCCTAAGGACAAGAAACCTGTGACAAATATGTTGCATCTCTAGTAGTCAAGCCAAGGTAATTTCTACAGCAAAACTAATAAGATGTTGCCATTTTTGTGGTATATATTAGGGGTGAGCGTTTTGGGATTCAATTCGATTTTTTCGGTTTCGGTATTTCGATATTAAAAATAAAAATGATAAATCATTCGGTAACATTATAGTTTGGTTCAGTTTCTTTTACTTTGATTTGTAGTTTGGTTCGGTTTCTTTTACTTTGATTTGTGGCATACTAAATACTACTGCAAATCAGCGTAGTACAAGAAAGTACAAGAAAGAAATTGTCTCCTGTAATAAATTAATTGTTATTAACGGGCTCGAACGAGAGTGGCAAAATATATTATTTTTCAAATATATTGCATGAATGTTTATGAGGCTGTCCACATTTATTTTATCATATTTCTAAGTGGTAAAAAGACTAAATTACTTAATAATTTAATAATGTACAGATTGATGAAGAAATATCTTGCCAGGTCACAAGGCATGAGTCAAATTTTAATGCCAGTGAGTTGAAAATGATAACTTAACCTATGAAATGAGCAATGAATATATATACAATTATACACTACAGGATCCCCACTACCAACTTGTACAGATAGATACAACACAGCATATCCACTACCAGATCAGATAAGAAAAATGAATAAATCATATGGTTGGTCCAAATCAAATGATAATAAAGTTTATAGAACCAATCAAGCATGTATGAATTGTATATATTTCATAAATTCAATAAAACAGGAAGCTTAATGACACCAAGACACAGTTCTGATAAGATGGATTTCTGAAGTCTGAACAATGAGTTTCTATGCAGTAACTTTATATTGCTTGACCTAAACAAAAGATGACTAACAAGAAGAAACAATAGGAGTATGAGTAGAAGCAAAATGTGTTCTTGCATTGAGATCATCCAGGTAGTTCTGATGTATATAATTCCCAAAACCCCACATTGCCATTAACAACGCAATCATCTTCACACCGTTCATCTTGTCATGCAAGATGATCACCGAAGCGATGGGAGTAACCGCCAAAGAGAGCGTGCTGATAACATTGGAGAACAGAGACGACACCACAAATATTAAACCCACGACCCCAACCGCACAAACCTGCCATCCCACAGCTGTCCATACAAATACCTGCACATAGGCCGCTTTGCCTGTAGTAAAACCCTGCATTTCTCCCGACAGAGTCCTCCATTCCCCGCTTGCAAACAGTCCAACGGTGGAGATACCCGAGGCCACGAGCGATGTAAATATTTGCATTTCCAAAACGACAGAAAACGTTTCCTTCTTTATGACTTTCTGAAATGAAAGTTGCATCAGTGAAAGTATGAGGGAGTAGAGTCCAGAAGCTACAATAGCAGCTATAATTCCAAATATATATTTCCTCGTAGTGACACCCGGAGGCTTATCAGAGTCCTCGTTGATCGCAAGCAGAGAAGCAGATAATGTAAGGGCAATCACCGAGTTGAAAATCAACGCTGTAAACTTTTGACCGTTAATGAAGAAAGAAAAAATCGCATTAAAGACTAGCTGCGTTGCACATATGAGGGAATAGGTCGAGGCTGAGAGGTACAATAGTGCAACAGAATATAGCATGTTATCCCCGGCAATGATGGCACCAAGCAAGACATAGATTATGGTAACTTTGATGATAGAAGGCGGAGGTTGGTTTGGTGAATCTGTGTGTTCTTTGGGAGATGGAATAAGAAAATAAGGAATCAAAAGAACAGGGAAACCAGCTGTTTGAACAAGAGTGGCCATCCATTTACTATTTCCACCATTATCATAGTAAATTCTTCCAAGAATAATAGCAGCCGCCTGACCCACAAGAAGGAAAATCACGTTAACAGCCAATAGGATCCAAAAGTTGAGCTGTTTGCGCTTCATAACAGGGTTCGGGTGCCTGACATTTGAATAACCTTCATTGTCTGCCATGAATCAATACATGCAGATGGTAAGCAATTCATCATGAAATCATTAAAAAAAAAAAACAGTAGAAATAGACCAGCTGAACTACCAAAACACTGATACGTTGAGCTAAACTGAAACAAACAGCTTCCATCATTAATACTCATTGAACAAATAGATTCCTCTTTTCCCCTTTTTCCAAAAACTAAGCAATTTCACTATGAGGTAATATTGAGAATGGGAATCAAATTCTTGAGCAAGATCATTCCTCCCTTCATATGAACTTAAAGATATCCACAGCACATATATACATCATTCAAAAAATATCAACAATTTATGTATTAATCATCATATTTTCACCAATAGGAAGGGATAAGAATCCAGTAAATATATAATCTTTGGGTTAAACCTACACTTCTAAACTAACTTTTGTGTTGGTGTTGTAGTTATGCTCTGAGTTCGTATCAATCTAAACCTCTAGTCGCTAAAGCAATGTATTAACAAGATTATCACTCCTAAACCTAAAAACTCAAAAGAAATATAATACCAAAAGATATATACTTTTGATAAAATCTCCAAGATTTCAAATTCAATCCATATATATATAACAAAACAAAAGAAAAGCCCATAAGATCGTTTCTCAATCAGAGGCGATACACTGATATAGAGAGAGGGAGAGAGGAGAGAGACCTGCCATGGAGAGACGTAGTCCGTACAAGGAAAGCGTAAAGAGGCGGCAGAGATGGAGAAGAATCACAGTGAAGAATTAAGGAGGCAACTTGCAGTGTAGAATGTGTTCATTCAGTGGACTGGACACTGGTGATTAACCGCCTCGTACACTAGTGGTACATAATGTATTAACCTGGACTATAGCTAAATTCACAAATTGATCATCGACTTTCAATTTCAACCAATTAAGTCCTTAACTTTGTAATTTTGACACGATTTGGTCCTCTATCTATTTGACCATTTGTTGACCGTGATCGACGATCTCCAGAAGAACCTTCAGCTCTCGTCGGAGCACGTGGAGGCCTCCAGGATGACGTTGTACTGGTTCGGAAACAAGTCGTCTTAATCGCTCTAGTACGAACTCAACTACATTGAATCTAAAGGGAGGATGAAGAAAGGCGACCGAATTTGGTAGATTGCTTTCGACAGTGGATTCAAATGTAACAGTGCGGTCTGGAAATGCAACCGGAACCTTAAAAACCCGACGATAGACCATGAAATTACATATATATCCTCAAAAATCACAGTCAACAAACGGTCAAATAGACAGATGACTAAATTGTGTTAAAATTGTAAAATTAAGGACTTAATTGGTTGAAATTGAAAGTCGATGACCAATTTGTGAATTTAGCTATAGTCGAGGGACCATTTTGGGTATTTACTCATGTATTAATTAATTGAATTGAAGCCCACACAGCTCAGCTGGTTATAGAGGTGAAATTTGAAAAGAGTGATCAAGATTGAGTCTCACAGAATCATTATCATGATTTACAATTTTTTTGGGAAGAATTAATTGAATTGAAATTACTGTAATACTATTTTGGAAATATGACGATAAATTATTCTGTGGACCTAAGTCCACCTTACAAAGTATATTCGGATCTAAAAATACACCATTTATATATTGAATGTTCACAATTTTATATACTGAACATTCAGTATGTAAATTGTATATAGTGGACCCAAGTCCATGGTATAACTGCTGAAATATTACTAAAGTGGTAAGTGTTTTTTATCAGATTATTTGCTTTACATAATTTGAGGTTATTCAAAAATGCAAAGTTCAGTTTGCACTCGAAAATGACATGGTGTGAATAAATAATATGTAGACACAAGAAGAAAAAGTTTGTTACGTGAAGCAAAAGTTGGTATAGTTGATGCATAATGTCTATAGTTTAAGGGAAATATGATTGAATTAATTAATTAAATCGGGTGGTCCCTGGTCCACGATATAATGATTGGCTGTCGACCCAGGGGTCATACCTTGAATGTCGACCCCGAGGTCCTTTGTCCCTTGCCCGTGCCTTGCCCTTGGGTCCCCAATGCCATGCTCCAGTCCTTCGCACCTTGGCAACTACAAGATCCCCACTAGTGCACTACCAACTTGGGTACAAAAGGCAAAATTCTTAGCTTCGAACGCCCCACACCCCGTCTCCAATGACGGATTCAGAAATTTTGTTCAGTGGAGGTGAAACATTAAAACAAAAAGAATAGCTTAAAAAAATGAAACAGTTAAGAAGTTAGCCATAAATATTGTTAGATATGAGAAAAAAAAATTATAACAAAATATGAAACATAATTAATTTGATAAAATAATTCTAATAGAAAACACATTATAAATTACACATCTTAATATTAATAGAAAACACATTATAAATTACACATCTTAATATTAATAGAAAACACATTATAAATTAGACATCTGAAGTTAGCCATAAAAATTGTTAGATATGTGCAAAAAATAAAAAAAAAATATTTATAACAAAATATAAAATATAATTAATTTGATAAAGTAATTCTAATAAAAAACACATTATAAATTACACATATTATTATTAATAGAAAACACATTATAAATTACACATCTTATTATTAATATAAAAGTATATACATATATTTTGAAAGCATAATTGTGTTGAAGCCCGTCATTATAGCCATAGAAATATGCAATCAAACCATAAGAAAGATTCAAACCTACGCCCTTCCTTAAGGTAACACGCGTGTTCGGCCATCTGGGCTAATTTATTCTTTGTGTTATTAGTTTAATGTTGTACTATATATACATACATATATACATACAGGGTTATATATGGGGTAGGGGGAAGGGGGCAACTGCCCCCACTGTAGCTCCGCCCTGGCCGTCCCTATAGGAATTCTGGTGGACTAGCAATAAGCAACATGAATACATGGATAGATAGATACAATAAACAATGAGTTAAACAAAGCTATACACTATAGCATCTCCACATTAGTTGCAGTATCAGCAGAAGCAAGATGTGTTTTTCTTGCCTTGAGATCATCCAGGTAGTTCTGATATATGTAATTTCCAGAACCCCACATTGCCATTATCAAGGCAATTACCTTGACACCATTCATCTTGTCATGCAGGATGATCACCGAAGCGATGGGAGTAACAGCCAACGAGAGCGTGCTGATAACATTGCAGAATAGCGACGACACCACAAAGATTAAACCCACGACGCCAACAGCACAAACCTGCCATCCTAAACACGTCCACACCAACACCTGCACGTACCCCGCTTTTCCGGCAGCAAAAGCGTGCATTTCTCCCGACAAAGTCCTCCATTCCCCGCTACCAAACAGTCCGATGGTGGAGATGCAGGCGGCCACCAGAGATACAAATATTTGCATTTCCAGAACCACATGAAACGTTTCTTTCTTTATAACTTTCTGAAATGAAAGTTGCATCAGTGAGAGTATGAGGGAGTAGACTGCAGAATCTGCTATAGCAGCTATAATTCCAAACATATATTTCCACCTAGTGACACCCGAAGGCTTATCAGAGTCCTCGTTTATGGCTAGCAAAGAAGCAGCTAATGTAAGGGTAATCACGGAGTTAAAAATCAACGCGGTAAATTTTTGACCATTAATGAAGTAAGAAAAAACTGCATTAAAGGCTAGCTGTGTTGCACATATGAGGGAATAGGTCGAGGCCGAGAGGTACAACAAAGCAACAGAATACAACATATTCTCCCCGGCTGTCAGGGCACCAAGTAAGAAATAGATAATAGTAACTTTGATCATAGAAGGCGGAGGTGGAGGTTGGTTAGATGAATCTGAGTGTTCTTTGGACAACGGTATAAGAAAATAAGGAATCAAAAGAACAGGGAAACCAGCTGATTGAACAAGAGTGGACATCCATTTACTATTTCCACCATTATCATAGTAAATTCTTCCAAGAATAATACCGCCCCCCTGACCAGCAAGAAGGAAAATGATATTAAGAGCTGATAGGAGCCAAAAGTGGAAGCCTTTGAGCTGCATTTCTGAACCACCACTGTCTTTCATTTTCTGCTATGAATCAACACAGATGGTAAACAATTCAGCAAGAAATCATGAAAAATTTGCAGCAGAATCAGATCCCACAAAAGAACTTTCACCCACCTACCAATACAATATAGAGACCAATCCGGCAACCCCAACCAAGTTGGTCAGACTGTTGATGGGTAGCTGCATGATTACAAGTTCGACTCCCAATGGGAGCGGCCTATTGGCCTTGATTGCCGATCAACTATGACTAACCTAAGCTGGTTTACTTCTTCGAGATCCTTTGCCGGGTAGGGCTACACTCGAGTAATGATTGCAGGTTTCACTAAAAAATATATAGAGATCAATTAAAAGTAAACTAGCTAGCATAAGCAAACAACCAATAGAAATACACAAGCAGAACTACCAAAAACAATACATTAACAAGATCATAACTCTGCCAGGCTAAACCCTAAAGCAATGTAATTAAAAAAAACTCCAATATTTCGAATTCAATCCATAAAAAATAAAAAACGTAACCCTAAAGATCCTTTCTGAATTAGAAGTGATACACTCATATACAGCCATACAGGGAGGGAGAGAGGAAACAGACCTGACATGGAGGGATGTAGTCTGAACAAGGAAAGCGTAAAGAAGCGGCAGAGATTGTGATATATGAAATGGGTTAACGGAGAAACTGGATAGGAATCACACTGAAGAGTAAAGAAGCCAACTTGATCACAGCGAAGAGGAGAAATATTTGATTCTCATTCTAATTTTCAAGAACCAAACACACCTTAACACATGCTACGAAATTGGTTAGTTTAGGAATTCAGTTGTAGCTTTTTTTTTTTTTTTTTTTTTTTTTTTTTAAAGTTCAGTGGTCTGATTGCATTATGGTGTGTACTTCGATGATCTATTTGACTCTTATTCCTTTTATTTTTGTTTTTTTTTTTTAATTTACTAAGTTTCAATTTACACCACACTAATTCTAATTTTTTTGAGAAAAAAATTAATGAGAAAAGTAAATCGTGAATCATTCAAACAGTGTGACATGATATTTCTGTCGGGCCAATTTGTTAAGTTGTGTTTGTTGGATAATTGGTAAATAAATCGATACACAAAATATATATAATATATATTTATACCGAGAAATGATATTTAATTTATAGAATATTAATTCCAACTAATTTTGGTACAAAACCAAAATTACACACACCAAAACCAAAATTACACACACACACACACACACACAGATATATATATATATATATATATATATATATATATATATATATATATATATATATATATATATATATATACACGAGGTATATAATCCAACCACAACTAGTACGAAAGTAGTACAAGGGATTTAGTTTTTATGAGATTAATCCCACCACTTGGTACGAAACTAAGAATAAAAAAATATATAAAACAATAAAGAGTTTCTAACCTGAGGTTTTAACCCAATGAGAAGAAAAGGAAGCTCGAGTCGTGTGTACACACACTCTCCTTAAAACAAATTCGCCACCTCCTGAGGGTGCTAGGAGTGTTGTGGCGTCAGTCTCCTAGGATAAAACGAACTACAACTTTGGCGTTCGAGCACTCAAACCCAAAGCCCGGCGAACAAGAACACAAGTTGAGCACTCCAATATTTTACGAAATTGTTGGCAAAATTTCTCCTTCGTATCAAAACAATAGTTGAGAGTGGAGAAGAAAATGAAGAGATTTGAGAGGTTCAAAATGCACGAGTTCAAAATCATTATGCCAACAACTAGTATTTGTAGGGAAAAGATGTTTAGTTAGCCTATTCATAGCACATTAACCAACATTAATTCAATTAAAACGGCCGTACTTATTATAGTAATAATATCAACAGTCATAAACTTAATATTCAATTAATTTGTACCGACCATAACGATCTGTTTCAAAACACCTAAGTAACCAAAAACTCTATACTTACAAAAAGTTAACGAATTGGGACTGAAAATTGCACCTAAATTAGGGATGTCAACGGGGCGGGGTGGGGGCGGGGGACATAACCCCCATCCCCGTCCCCGACTTTCTTCCCATTCCCCGTCCCCATCCCCATCCCCGCCGGGGAATGAAAAATTCCCCCCATCCCCATCCCCACGGGGATTATTCGGGGACGGGAAATCCCCACCCCGTTAACAAGTTATAAAAAAAAATAAAAATTAAACATTAAAAAACATTTAAATAAATAACGCATATATATTCATCCCGAACTCAAAGTTGTATTCAATATTTTACAATTAAACATTTTATTTAAAAATATGCATGACATACAATGACAAGAATACTTCTAAAATTATATATATTGTATACAAAGTACTACATTTATATATATATATATATATATATATATATATATATATATATATATATATATATATATCGGGGACGGGGCGGGGCGGGGAGAGTACTCCCCATCCCCGCCCCTGTCCCCGGCGGGGAATTCAAAATTGCCCCCATCCCCATCCCCTATCCCCTATTTCTGTCCCCATCTCCGTCCCCGTAGGGGCGGGGAATCGGGTTCCCCGTCGGGTGCGGGTTCAATTGACATCCCTAACCTAAATAATGCCAAAAACATCAAAACGGTGCAGCACGAATTGGTGCGGCAAACATCGAATCGGTGGACCACAGCATCAATTCGTGTGCCGAATTGATGCTTCTGCACCGAATTGATGCTTCTTATCACTTCGTAATGTATATGCTGCCAGCACATTATTTAAATTAAGCTTAACCTTTAACCTTTGTAATTTATGCTCTCCAAGCTTAATTTGATTTCTTTTAAATAGGTTGACTTTGAGAATCAATTTCTCATTCATATATTATCCATTTTAAATATATATTATATCAAATTCTTCGTCTGACTAGGAAGAGTCTGAATCTACTCTGACTCGACCCAAATCAAAAGTGGACCCCACATATAATACCAAAAGATATATACTATTGATAAAATCTCCAAGATTTCGAATTCAATCCATATATATATATATATATATATATATATATATATATATATATATATATATATATATATATATATATATATATATATATATATATATATATATATAGAGAGAGAGAGAGAGAGAGAGGGAGAGAGGAGAGAGACCTGACATGGAGGGATGTAGTCCGTACAAGGAAAGCGTAATAAAGAGGCAGCAAAGATGGAGAAGAATCACAGTGAAGAATAAAGGAGGCAAGAAGCCAACTTGCAGTGTACTGTGTAAAGTGTTCATTCAGTGGACTGGTGATTAACAGCCTCATACATAATGTATTAATTGAACTGAAATTACTGTAATACTATTTTGAAAATATTACTAAAGTGGTAAGTGTTTTTTATCAGATTATTTGCTTTACATAATTTGAGGTTATTCAAAAATGCAAAATTCAGTTTGCACTCGGAAATGGCACAAGAAGAAAAAGTGTGTTATGTGAAGAAAAAGTTGGTATAGTTTACGCATAATGTCTATGGTTGAAGGGAAATATGATTGAATTAATTAATATGGGTGGTCCTGGTCCACGGTATAACGATTGGCTGCAGACCTGGGGGTCCTACCTTGAAGGCCGGCCCCGAGGTCCTTTGCCCCTTGCCTCTGATCCATGGTATAACGATTGGCTGCCGACTTGGGGGTCCTAACTTGAAGGCCAGCCCCGGGTCCTTTGCCCCTTGCCCCTGATCCACGATTGGCTGCCGACCTGGGGGTCCTACCTTGAAGGCCGGCCCCGGAGTCCTTTGCCCCTTGCCCATGATCCACGGTATAACGATTGGCTGCCGACCCGGGGGTCCTACCTTGAAGGCCGGCCCTGGGGTCCTTTGCCCCTTGCCCCTGATCCACGATATAACGATTGGCTGCCGACCTGGGGGTCCTACCTTGAAGGCCGGCCTCGTGGTCCTTTGCCCCTTGCCCGTGCCTCACCCTTCGGTCCCCCATGCCAAGCTCCAGTCCTTCGCGCCTTGCCAACTACAGGATCCCCACTACCAACTTGGGTGCAAAAGGCGAAATCCCTAGCTTCGAACGCCGCACACCCCGTCCAGTGGGCCGTCCCTATAGGAATTATGGTGGACTAGCAACTTGAATAGATGTATAGATAGATAGATACAACTTGAGTAGATAGATACAATAAACAATGATAGATACAATAAACAATGAGTTAACTATACACTACACAGCATCTCCACTACCAGATGAACTATTAGTTGCAGTATCAGCAGAAGCAAGATGTGTTTTTCTTGCGTTGAGATCATCCAAGTAGTTCTGATATATGTAATTTCCAGAACCCCACATTGCCATTAGCAAGGCAATTATCTTGACACCATTCATCTTGTCATGCAGGATGATCACCGAAGCGATGGGTGTAACAGCCAACGAGAGCGTGCTGATAACGTTGCAGAATAGCGACGACACCACAAAGATTAAACCCACGACGCCAACAGCACAAACCTGCCATCCTAAACATGCCCACACCAACACCTGCACGTAGCCCGCTTTTCCTGCAGCGAAAGCGTGCATTTCTCCCGACAAAGTCCTCCATTCCCCGCTAGCAAACAGTCCGGTGGTGGAGATGCCAGCGGCCACCAGAGATACAAATATTTGCATTTCCAGAACCACATGAAACGTTTCTTTTTTTATAACTTTCTGAAATGAAAGTTGCATCAGTGAGAGTATGAGGGAGTACAGTGCAGAATCTGCTGTAGCAACTATAATTCCAAACATATATTTCCACCTAGTGACACCCGAAGGCTTATCAGAGTCCTCGTTTATGGCTAGCAGAGAAGCAGCTAATGTAAGGGTAATCACGGAGTTAAAAATCAACGCGGTAAATTTTTGACCATTAATGAAGAAAGAAAAAACTGCATTAAAGGCTAGCTGCGTTGCACATATGAGGGAATAGGTCGAGGCCGAGAGGTACAACAAAGCAACAGAATACAGCATATTCTCCCCGGCTGTCAGGGCACCAAGTAAGAAATACATAATGGTAACTTTGATCACAGGAGGCGGAGGTTGGTTAGATGAATCTGAGTGTTCTTTGGACAACGGTATAAGAAAATAAGGAATCAAAAGAACAGGGAAACCAGCTGATTGAACAAGAGTGGACATCCATTTACTATTTCCACCATTATCATAATAAATTCTTCCAAGAATAATACCGCCCCCCTGACCAGCAAGAATGAAAATGATATTAAGAGCTGATAGCAGCCAAAAGTGGAAGCGTTTGAGCTGCATTTCCGAACCACCACCATCTTTCCCCAAGAATGGTGTTTCATTTTCTGCTATGAGTCAACACAGATGGTAAACAATTCAGCAGGAAATCATGAAAAATTTGCAGCAGAATCAGATCCCACAAAAGAACTTTCACCCGCCTACCAATACAATATAGAGATCAATCAATCAACCCCAACCAAGTTGGTCAAACTGTTGAGGTGTAGTTACATGATTACAAGTTTGATTCCCAATGGGAGCGGCCTATTGGCCTTGATTGCCGATCAACTATGACTAACCTAAGCTGGTTTACTTCTTCAAGATCCTTTGCCGGGTAGGACTACAAGGCAGGTTTACCCTGTGCCTACCCTCGAGTAATGATCGCAGTTCGCAGGTTTCACTACAAAAAATATAGAGATCAATGAAAACTAAACTAGCTAGCATGAGCAAACAACCAAAAGAAATACACAAGCTGAACTACCAAAAACAATACATTAATAAGATCATTACTCTGCCAGTCTAAACCCTAAATCAATGTAATAAAAAAATCTCCCAATTTCGAATTCAATCCATTGAAAAAAAAAAATTAAAAACGCAACCCTAAAGATCCTTTCTGAATTAGAAGTGATACACTCATATACAGCCATACAAGGAGGGAGAGAGGAGACAGACCTGACATGGAGGGATGTAGTCCGTACAAGGAAAGCGTAAAGAAGCAACAGAGATTGTGAGATATGGAAATGGGTTAGCGGAGAAAGTAGAGAAAAAAGTGAGAAACTGGTCAACTGGATAGGAATCACACTGAAGAGTAAAGGTGCCAATAATGTGTTAGGTTTTGTTTGGTTTGGGAATCAGAATTGGAAAGTATTTTGAATATTTGGTAGTATGGTGATATTGTAATGATTATCAAAAGTGATGTTTGATTGTGTATGATTCTATAATAGAAATAAATATTTTAACAATACAAAAATAAAAATTAAGGTAATTGATTCTAATATAATAGGCAAAAGTGTCAAATTGTCCCTAAATCAAGTGCATAGTGCAATTTGGTCCCGTAAGTGAAAAAGCTCAATTCGAGTCTCTTAAACTAGTAAAGTTGTTCAATTAAGTCTAATTTGACTTGTTTATCAGGTTAAATCGATGCGGTGTTGACACGTGTCCATTTTATTTTATTTTTTTAAATAAATGTTTTTATTTATTAAAATTTTAAAATATTATTTATTATAAATAAATAAATTAATTAAAAAAAAAAAAAAAACAGCCACCGGCTGTCCGGCAGGACGACCACGGCCGTCTAAGGAAGACGACCATAGCTAATGAATGAAGATGGCCATGGCCGTTTTCCTTCGTCGGCCATGGCCGTCTTCCTCCACGGCTGCTCGGTGCAAACAGACGGTGGCTGTTTTTTTTTTTTTTAAAAAAAATTGTTTAAATTATTTATTTATTTATAATAAATAATATTTTAAATTTTTTAATAAATAAAAATATTTGTTTTAAAAAATAAAATAAAATGGACATGTGTCAACACCGCATCGATTTAACCTGATAAATAAGTTAAATTGAATTTAATTGAACAATTTACCGGTTTAAGGGGCTTGAATGAAGCTTTTTTCACTTATGGGACCAAATTGCATTATCCACTTGACTTAGGGGGCCAATTTAACATTTTTTCCAATATAATACTCCGTAACATTCAAAGGCCAAAGCATTAATATAAACAAAAAAAATATTAAAACAAAAAATCTAAAAGTACTAATCCAAACATAAAAATTAGATTAGGAATAAGATGGGATGATACTCATTTTTAATTAGAGAATGAGATTTTTAATTGAAATGTTAATCAAATCTCATTGTTGTGTTTTAAAAATTATCAGTTAAACACTAAAATTTTGATTCTCATTCATAATGTATAAATCCATGAACCAAACACACTCTTAGTATATTAAATTTCTTTTTGTCATTTTTTTTCTTCTAATTCATTAGTTTCCGGTTTACACTAGACTAATTTTATTTTTTTTAGAAAAAAATAAAAGTATTCAGAACAATTATGAGTCATCCAAACAGTGTGAGATGACATTTCTATGGGACCAATTTGTTAAGTTGTGTTTATTAATTTTGCGTTATAGAATTGATTTTCTGTGAACTCAATTTTGTTATGCTAATCTTTAAGTTTACAATCTTTTTTAGTCAACTGTTCAATTTCGACTGACACCCCTAATCACATGCAATGAATTAAATAAACTTAATCCCCACTACCAACTTGAATAGATGTAATAAGCAATTGGGAGCCTCCAACAAAGTTGGACAATAACCTATTAACTTTCTTAGTTTCAGCCAGTCAAATTCCTTACCGTCTTGTAAAGCTTACCCATTACATATCTTCTTCAAATAAGGATTTTGGATTTCCTTTGTCACCCAAAAAAAAAAAAAAAATGCCATGAAAGGAATGTGCAAAACATGACTCTTATACTTGAAAGTAATGAATTCAATTCTTGTCAATGCCCCCTTGATCGAGCCGATTTTGAAGGTATTAACAATAATTGAACTAATAAGTTGGCAACACTTTCTTGGCCTAAATCAAATGATGTGGATGGAAGTATAAACTATAAACTTCATATATTCAACAAAACTGGTTTGATGCTGATACCAAAGCTTCTTTTGCTTCTACTCATCAAGTTTAAATGCAGACTTTCCAGATAAGTTAGATTTCAGAACAATGAGCTCCTATGCTACTCAGTATTTCTCTACATTCTTTCACCTATCCAATGATGACTAACAATTAGTTGCAGTATCAGCAGAAGAAATTTGTCTTTTTCTTGCCTTGAGATCATCCAAGTAGTTCTGATATATGTAATTCCCAAAACCCCACATTGCAGTTAGCAAGGCGATTATCTTGACCCCATTCATCGTGTCGTGCAGGATGATCACCGAAGCAATGGGAGTAACAGCCAACGAGAGCGTGCTAATAACATTAGAAAATAGCGAGGACACCACAAAAATCAAACCCACAACTCCAACCGAAGCAATCTGCCATCCCACGGCTGTCCATACCAAAACCTGCACATATGCGCCTTTTCCTGTCGTGAAACCCTGCATTTCTCCCGACAGACTTCTCCATTCCCCACTTGCAAACAGCCCGATGGTGGAGACACCGGTGGCTACGAGTGATGTGTATATTTGCATTTCCAGAACCACAGAAAACGTTTCTTTCTTCATAACTTTCTGAAACGAGAGTTGCATCAGTGAAAGTATGAGGGAGTACAGTGCAGAAGCAACAGTAGCAGCTATAATTCCAAGAATATATTTCCAGCTAGTGACACCCGAGGGCTTATCAGAGTCCTCGTTAATGGCAAGCAGAGCAGCAGATAATGTAAGGGCAATCACGGAGTTGAAAATCAAAGACGTAAATTTTTGACTATTAATGAAGAAAGCAAATATTGCGTTAAAGACTAGCTGTGTTGCACATATGAGGGAATAGGTTGAGGCTGAGAGGTACAACAGTGCAATGGAATATAGCATGTTATCCCCGGCAATGAGGGTACCAAGAAAGAAATAGATAACCGTGACTTTGATGATAGAAGGCAGAGGTGGAGGTTGGTTTGATGAATCTGATTGTTCTTTGGGAGAAGGGATAAGAAAATAAGGAATTAAAAGAATAGGGAAACCAGCAGTTTGGACAAGAGTGGCTAACCATGTACTATTTCCACCTTTATCATAGTAAATTCTTCCAAGAATAATAGCAGCCGCCTGACCCACTAGAAGGAAACCCACATTAAGAGCCAATAGCAGCCAAAAGTCAAAGCGTTTGAGTTTCATAAGCGGGTTCTGTGTGTCTGAATCATCTTCTTTCACCAAAATTGGCGTTTCGTTTTCTGCTACAAATCAAGACAGATGGTAACCAATTCAGCAGGAAATCATAAAGCAGCAGAATTAGATTATGCAAAAGCATTTCCACCCATCTACCTATGCAACAGAGATTAATGAAAACTAGCATGAACAAAACCAATAGAAATACACAACATGAACTCCCAAGTCCCAACATTGAGCTAAAATGAAACAAACAAGGGCCAACAACCCCCGCCAAGTTAGTCAGACAGTTGACTTGGTAAATGGTAACAACAAGGTTACAAGCTCAACACACAATAGGGACGACGGTCTTCTGATTTACCTCCTTGTGGTCATTTGCCACCTAGGATCACAAACAAATCAGAGTTTACCTAGTGCACACCCTCGAATAGTGATTGCAGGTTTCCTAGGAACTAAAAAAAAAAAAAAAAAAAACAAACAAACAACTTACATCTTCAATACACTGTAGCACAAGTAGATTCATTTTCCCCCTTTCTGCAGAAACTATCTAAATTGCAATTCCACTATGAGGTAATACTGAGAATGGGAATCAAAATCGACCTTTATAAGAATTCAACAACATTCACAGCACATTGATCATTCCAAATCGCAACTAACTAAAAAAAATCCACAATTTATGCATTAATTTAGTTTAGCTTCTATCCAAAACACAAACATGGTCACCCCATTTAATTCAACCCAAAAACAGAAAAAGCAGTAGTAGAAAAGTACAGTCGTTACCCGTAGTGGGTAAAACAATATATTAACAAGATCATCACTCGCCAAGCTAAACTCTAAAGCAAATATAATAGAAAAACACATATACTACAAACAAAATTTCTAAGATTTCGAACACAACCCCAAAAATTAATCAAAAAAATAAAAAATAAAAAGTGATATGATCCTTTATACACAAGACTCAGACACTCATATACAGAGAGGGGAGAGGAAACAGACCTGCCATGGGAGGATGTAGCGTAAAGAGTCGGCACTCGGCAGAGATTGAGAGATGGAAACGAAGATTAAGGAGCCAATTATTAGCAGAGAAATTATATGGGAATCATTAAAAATTAAAAATAAAAAATGGAATTTCAATGAAGAAGAACCCATCATGCCTTTGTCAAAAAAAAAAAAGAACCCATCATGCCATTTTGTCAATTTACAATTTACAATTGACAACTTGTTGGGAGGGACCCTTATAAATTCCTTTTGAGATATTCTTGCGGTCTGACCCCTTGCATTTATTTTTTAATCAATTCTATCCCATATGAGTACAATCCTTGGACTTCCATTTGGAATGTTGTAAGTTCGAGTCTCAGTGGAAGCGTTATTAGCTCTTTGTGTTTCAGTAGGTTGAGAAAGTATATAAACAGATACTACAATGTAATAGAGCTAGTAGCATTCAAAAAAAAATATGAGTACAATCCTTTAATATAATATACATATATAGGATCTTTCAATACATTTTTGTTATAGTGTAAGATTTTCACCGTCAGATACAATGATTAATTCTTTCATTTAATTGTAGACATCTTTATTAAATATGATAATTTGTCCTGATTAATTTTTTCGTTTAATTGTAGATATCTCTATTAAATATGATAATTTGTCTGAAAATTTAAATATGATAATTTGTCTGAAAATAAAATAAATATGAATCGTGTCAGAAATTTCTACAATTGTTACTCATAAATGTATCAATTTCATTAGATACATATATTTCTTATTAATTTAAGATGAAGTAAATATAAATAATTTTCTTTTTCAATTCGGAAGTAACTAATAGTGAATGATAATCCATAAATATAAATAGTTTTCATTTAAAAAAAAAAAATCAGAAGTGGCTAATAAGTAGTAGTAATTGGAATGGGTGGGGAGCATTTTATAATAAATATATATAGGGACGTATGAAATAAATAAATTGCACGCCAAGGTAAGCCAATGATTGATGGAAACGTGTAGAGCTTAAAATCGAACATATCGGACAAAAAAGGGGGAATAGAGTTTGGGTGAATGAATCTTGGACCTGAATGTGTGGACTATGGAGTTGGCTGCAAAAGTAGAAAGGAGCACTTCAGAATCATGTGAACAACTCATCTTTTTTTTTTCTTTTTTTTTTTTTTTAAAAAAAATCTCATATTTTTGGCCATAAGCAAAGAGCAAAAGTTCTGCACGGATGAAATTAGATTTATTATTTGTCCATAAACGGCAAAATTTTCTTACCTTTAAAAGACTCTACATTTCGAGTTGACAGAATAGTAGAGTAGGATAAATTATGATGACCAGTACTTAGTGTTTCCGATGAGAATACTGCCAGAGCTCGATCATGTGGCATGTGTAATTTGATTTATTACTAACGATGGACCTATTGGACCATATTTAGGTCAAATTAAGGTGCTGCAAGATAGAACCAAATTGCACATTTTTCTTGGCCAAATAGTATTCCGCACTATAGACCAAAAGCAAACAATCTTGCCAGACAATCATGGGTTATTTGAATATAAAAATATAAAAGTACTTAAGAGAGCAACCTTATCAATGTGCATTTCTTATTGAGTTTTTTCATGTTCAGGCTCTGTCAAAGTGCAGCAACTTACAGCTAATAATCCTTGAAATCTAATAAAACTGCTGCTTTACTTTGTTTCACAGAACTGCAAAAATCCATACAAACAAATTTCGACTGAAAGGAGGGATGACATATTACATATAGGTGTAGAACTGATATAGAAGAAATGAGCTCACAATTAAGTAAACTATAATGGCAATCGACGACTGTATCTTTAACACTTCCTTTCCTGATAGACGATCAACAATGGGTAGGACTCGAATGCAATCAAGGACAGGCGGCTTTGGCTTTACAGATACGCTACTTTAGGTTCAAAAGACAGCATAGCATAGCATAACATGTAAGATCCAGACAGACACAACAGGATTGGATTGATAACATCAGTTCGACGTTAAATGTTGAAAACTTAGTTATTATTAATAAGATCTACTAATCATGTATAAAGCAGCAGGAAAAGGATGTACGGGAAGGAACCTTTTTTCAACAAGGTCAGTTTTATTCCCAACAAGAACAATGATAACATTACTCCCATTCCCAGTCCGAACCTCCTCAATCCACTTTGAAGTATTAAGGAAGGACTGCCTATCTGAGCATAAAGAAAATGTGGCGACATCAAGTCAGCAAACAAATATTTTGCATAGGCCGAGAAAAAGAAATTGCATATGAATATATGATGAAGCTGCTAATAACCAAAATCTCAATTTGTACCATGTTTCTTCAAACTAAGCAAGCTTTTCATCAAATGAAAAGGAAGCCATAAAGATTAGAGAGTGTACTTGCAACATCATACACAATAACAGCACCATCTGAGTCTCTGATTACGCTTGGTATAAGACAACTCCTAACTATCTCTTGTCCTGTAGTATCCCTTTTTTGCCACCACAGAAGTAGAGTGATTTAAGAAACATTTGTACAAAAGCAAATATCAATCCAATAACAGATCCAGCATATGTAGCATATTAAATTAACAGTGTAATCGAGAAGGTAGTTTAATATTATTCCAGTGTAAATACTATGTATCACATACTCCATAGGAAGAGTATACATCAATAAGATTAGCTGAAGAAACGTTTCTAGTGCAACTAGAAAGATAATGTCAAGATAAGGAATATGGGAAGAAAGCAATTGCAATGCTTAATCAGATCAGCAAGCTATCATAAGTTAGTCCAAACATAGCATCACTACAATACATCTTATGTACAAGAGATAGGAAGAGAATATTAATCAAGAATTTGCCAATACAAATGGATGCTTGAGTGAAATTATATGTCACATTGAAATCACGATAGAAGCCTCGAAAAATTATTTATTCAGAAGTATTAACTTAAATCAATAATTTGTCAATACAAATGGACTTGAGAAGTAGAATTATATGCAGCATATTGGAAACGTGATAAAAGCCTAAAAAATCATTTATTCAGAAGCATAACTTAAATCAAGAGTTTTTCAATACAAATGGATGCTTGAGAAGTGAAATTATATGCCGACAGTGGAGATGCAATAAAAGCCTAAAAAATCATCATTAATTCAAAAGCATAATTTAAATCAAGAATTTGTCAATACAAATAGATGCTTGAGAAGTGAAATTATATGCCGCATATCGGAAACACGGTAAAAGCCTCAAAAAATCATTTATTCAGAAGCATAACTTACCAAAGCCGCAGTGTTACATCACAATCTTCAAGGTACACTTTCTTTGAAAAGAAATTAACGACAATTGTTGGCTGAAAGATTGTTAAAGTGAATTTAGGATGAAAGCACAGTAAGTTTTCCACGTAGGTGTAAAGAAATTCTGCAATTTAGTTCACAAAGCCAATAACAACGATCAAAGTGCAAATAATAAATTAAAATAAAATTATGAATGAGGGAAGTTACGCTGGATTAATGTTGGTGTTCTTTCACCTATGTTAAGTTGAGATATACTATTAGTTTATTTGCAGATCATACTTTCTACAGATACAAAAGGTTGTCACTGTTAAACTGATCTGAAGTGTCTGATTGGTGGAAAGTCCTGGTTAAAACTTCAACACAAAATTAAATTCCTAGAAGACTAGAATGAGAAAGCAAATACAATCAGATCATCATCAATAAACTAAATGCCAACTTAACAAAGAGTCAATTTAAGTTCCAACAAAAATCAGTAAATCGAACGGAATGCAAGAGTGATCAGAGAACAAAAAAAATGCACAAAAAGTGACTGAATTTCACTAACTTCGACGGCAAAAGCTTAAATCAAAATATAATAAACTAACAGCAGGTGCATTCACCTTGTATGTGTTATCGAACTTGTCGTGCATAAAGCGAGTGATGATCATGGTTTTGCCGACAGACTCGTCTCCTAAGAAGACGAGCCTGTACTTATGGAGGCAAGAAGACAAGTGACGATACTGCTTTTGCATTATTTCTACATCCAACGAGAGTGTGCTGATAACATTGGAGAATAGCGAGGACACCACAAAAATTAAACCCACGACACCAACTGCAGCAATCTGCCATCCCACGGCTGTCCATACCAGAACCTGCACATAGGCAGCTTTTCCTGTGGTGAAGGCGTGCATTTCTCCCGACAGAGTCCTCCATTCCCCACTAGCAAACAGCCCGATGGTGGAGATACCAGTGGCTATGAGTGATGTGTATATTTGCATTTCCAGAACCACAAAAAACATACGAGGGAATAGGTTGAGGCTGAGAGGTACAACAGTGCAGTTGAAAATAGCATCTTACCCCCAGCAATGAGGGCACCAAGTAAGAAATAGATAATTGTAACTTTGATGATAGAAGGCGGAGGCAGAGGTTGGTTTGATGAATATGATTGTTGTTTGGGAAAAGGAATAAGACAATAAGGAATTAAAAGAATAGGGAAACCAGCTGTTTGGATAAGAGTGGCTAACCATTTACTTTTTCCACCTTTCTCATAGTAAATTTTTCCAACAATAATAGCAGCGGCCTGACCAACAAGAAGGAAAACCATATTAAGAGCCGATTGGAGCCAAAATGCAACCGTTCGAGCTTCATAAGCAGCTGCCTCTCATTTGAATCATCTTCAACGCCTGCTATGTATCAATACAGATGGTAAAGAATTCAACAGGAAATCATAAATAATATGCAGTCCACGAAAGAACTTTCACCCACCTACCAATATAATAGAGATTAATCAAAACTAAACTACCTAGCTTCATCAATACTCTGCTGCACAAGTAGATTCGCTTCGTTCCCTTTTGCAAAAACTAACTAAATTGCTTGTTTAGTATTGGCAAATTTTAAGAACGGGAATCAAAATCTTTCCCTTATAAGAAACTATCAATATTCACTACACATGGATCATTCATTCATAAGAAACTAACAATACTCACTGCACATAGATCATTCCTTCATAAGAAACTAAGAAACAAATAATACTCACTGCACATAGATCATTTCTTCATAAGAAACTAAGAATCAAATAATACTCACTGCACATAGATCATTCATTCATTCCTTCATAAGAAACAAACAATATTCACTGCAGGTAGATTATTCATTTATTGTTGAATTCTAAAAGGAAGTGTTTATATATGTATTGCGATAATGAACTGAATAGATTGAGTACAGGAAGCCTATGCTTATATACAAGCTAAGGGAAACTCCTAACCACTTATTTCAAAATTCAAATGGGTAGTTAGGAGACTTCCTCTAACAACCTACTAACACTCCCCCTCATAGATATCAAACATGCCCAACTTGTTACATATATATGAAACCCGACTCTTACACAACCCTTTCATGAATATGTCAGCCAGTTGATCACCGCTCCGAACGTGTGTAAGTGATATTAGTCCTTGCTCCACTTTTTCCCGTATAAAATGGCAGTCAACTTCAATATGCTTCGTCCGCTCGTGAAAGACTGGATTATTCGCGATGTGTATGGCAGCACAGTTATCACACCACAAATCTATCGGTAACTTCACTTCAACACCCACTTCTTTTAGAATGTTACGCACCCAGACTATTTCGCTCGCCACATGAGCCATAGCTCGGTATTCCGATTCAGCACTTGAGCGTGACACCACATTCTGCTTCTTACTCTTCCACGAGACCAAATTGCCTCCTACAAACACACAATAGCCTGTCATAGACTTCCTATCACCCGGTGAACCAGCCCAGTCTGCATCGGAGAACGCCTCAACACGTATATACCCGTGATCAGCATAAAGGATCCCTTTTCCAGGAGCACCTTTCAAGTGTTTCACAATCCGAACCGCCGCTTCCCAGTGAGTCTGCGTCGGTGCACTCATGAATTGACTAACCACACTCACTGGAAATGCAATATCTGGACGGGTAATTGTGAGATAATTTAGTTTTCCCACTAACCTCCTGTACCTCTCCGGATCTTCAACCGGCTCCCCTTCTCCTGCCAGTAACTTCACGCCTTGATCCATGGGCGTATCACACGGTTTTGACCCAAGCAGCCCCGTGTCCCGAGCAAGTCCAACACATATTTCCTCTGTGAGAGGAATATGCCTTTCTTAGAGCGTGCAACTTCAATTCCCAGAAAGTACTTCAATACTCCCAGATCCTTATTATGAAACTCAGATCCGAGAAAGGACTTGAGTGCCTCAATCCCACTTGCATCACTGCCTGTAATAACAATATCATCTACATATACTATCAACAAAACACACCCATAGTTAGTATGTTTGTAAAAGACAGTATGATCATATGCACTTATCTGCATTCCAAACTCAACAACTGGATTGCTAAACCGCCCAAACCACGCACGCGGAGACTGCTTCAGCCATATAAAGACCTCTTCAGCTTGCACACTTTCCCAAACTCCCCCTGAGCAACAAACCCCGGTGGTTGCTCCATATAAACCTCCTCACGCAAGTAGCCATGTAGGAAAGCGTTCTTCACATCAAGCTGATGCAAGGGCCAATGACTCGAAGCTGCCAAAGAGATAAATATCCGCACAGAAGTTAACTTGGCCACTGGAGAGAACGTCTCGGTATAATCTATACCATACGTCTGGGCGTACCCCTTTGCCACCAAGCGCGCTTTGAGTCTAGCCACACAGAACCATCCGGGTTCATTTTCACCACATACACCCATTTACACCCAATAGCAACCTTACCAGGGGGAAGTTGTACTAGATCCCAAGTCTGGTTCTCCTCCAGGGCGTCTACCTCCTCTACCATCGCACGCCTCCAACCATCATGGGACATTGCCTGACTCAAAGATTTCGGAACAGGAACAGACTCTAACTGGGACACAAAAGCACGTGAAGACGCCGATAAATTGGTATATGACATAAAGGACGGAACGGGACGAACACAACGGCGCGTACCTTTCCGAACAGCGATAGGAACATCCTGGTCTGTCGACGAAGATTCTGGTAAGGGAGGATTTACTAGTGGAACCGGTGGGGCTGCACGCGTATCACCTTCTCTGGGCCGCCTGTGATAGACCTGCGTAACAGGAGGCCTAGAATCCACTCCTACGGAGTCAGGAATAGTAACAGTATATGTCAGAAAATCATCTGTCTCGGAACTACAACCAGACGAACTGGAGAACTCCTCTGTGAATAGAGTATTCTCGAAGAATGAGACATCTGCAGAAACCAAGTATCGCCCCAAATCCGGGGAGTAACACCGATACCCTTTTTGAGTACTTGAATATCCCAGGAAAATACATTTTAATGACTTAGGATCGAGTTTCCCTCTTTGAGGACGAACATCCTGGACAAAACACGTACACCCAAACACTTTAGGAGGGAGGCAAAACAATGGTTTGGATGGATAGACGAAATGACAAGGACTCTGACCCCCAAGGACCCTTGTAGGTAAGCGGTTTATTAAGAAACACGCAGGTGACCGGGATCACCACAATTATAGCAAGCCCTTTGCCCACGACCTCCTCCGCGCCCTCTACCTCGTCCCCTGGACCGACCTCCTCGACTATCAGTCCCACTATCTCCCTGTGAGAAAAAGACTTGTTTCTCCAACGTACTATCAGTACCAAGATTCACTGACGCATTTTGAACCATAGAAAAAACCTGGTCGAGCGAGTCTAATTCCTTATTCCCCAATAATTGTGATTTCAAAACATCATACTCCTTATCCAATCCAGAAATCCAACTAAAAATATGCAATTGATCACGTTGTTTCTTCATTTTATCCACTTTATCAGTAATTGGCATAGCAGCACATAATGCCTCAATCACATTCTTGAAGTCATAATAGTAATCCCTGATGTCCCGCCCTTTTTGAGACGGTCGATGAACATCCTGGGATAACTGATATAACTTCCTTAAATTATTTGCCCCGCTAAACCACTGATTCACTAACTCCCACACTTCCTTCGCACTCTTACAGTGCTGTAAAGATAGGATTATCTTCCTATCAATACAATTTATTATACGTGAAAACAATCCGTCATCATCTTTCTGCCACGCTTGGGCTTCGGTAGGGTCATCCGGACATGTCTCAATTAAATGTCCAGCTTTACCCATACCCTTCAAGTTCACTTCAACTAGGAACTTCCATTCCCCAAAATTGGACCCATCAGGTGCCAACACCAAATCAACCAATTTAGATTGTGTTGACACCACTGTAATAGTCCTATTTTTTGCCATAATAAAAAAAACCAACCTGGAAATGTAGCTTTACTTCTAAGCAGATGACAAAGCCCAACCCAGCTTCACCTCACGCAGCAACGCAGATCTGGAAAAAACAGCTTCACTTCTCACGCAGCAAAGCAGATCTGGAGAACAGCCCACTCAAAATCCCCTCAACACCGGACGGAGATATTCATATAGGAGTGTCGGGCGCACGGAGACGAACCCAGCCGCGTCGGCGACGTCGGAGAACACCGCACGCGCCGGCGCGTGGCGTCGGAGCTCCGGGAGTGCGGTGGCGCGTGGACCTTCCGATGACTGCTCCGATCCTCCCGGCGGCGGCGCCTCTTCGTTCCGACCAAAGCCCACCACCCACATCTATGGCTCTGATACCATGTTGAATTCTAAAAGGAAGTGTTTATATATGTATTGCGATAATGAACTGAATAGATTGAGTACAGGAAGCCTATGCTTACATACAAGCTAAGGGAAACTCCTAACCACTTATTTCAAAATTCAAATGGGTAGTTAGGAGACTTCCTCTAACAATCTACTAACATTTATAAGTATTGAACTCTAAATAGTGAAGTGTATATTGAGATAGAGAAATACAGTGAAATAATGAGGGAAACAATATTCAAAACAAATGCACATAGATCATTCTCAATGAAACTAATACCCAACAAAAAATAAAAAATAAATGCAGTCATTAATTGCTTCTAATTTCTATTCAAAACAAACATGGTAATCCTATTTTTTCCCATAGACAATCCACATGTATAACGCAAAATTCAACTCAAAAAATGTAGTATACTAGAATACTAGTTGACTTAGTAAAGTAATATATTAACAAGATCATCACTCACAATCTAAAATCTAAAATCTAAAATTAAAATGATTTCAAATGAATAATTTACAGAGAGGTAGAGAGGAGAGAGACCTGCCATGGAGTGATGAGTCCGGACAACATTCTCTCACAAATATAAGATTTCCTCCACATTAGATTTTGAAGAGAATGTAATTTCTCTACAACTTTAGGTTTTATAAGATTCATGTGCATAATTTCTATTTTTACCCTTTTAATTCTAATTAGTATAAAATACATATTTTATGTTAATTTATTATACGTATCATATTTAATTATTTTTAAATCATGTACTTATATATGTTACAATTCCCTTATTTATTTATTTTAATTTTAATTTTGAAAATTTATTAAAATACACAAAAATATGTCAATGGTATTAAAGTAAAAAAACATTATTGCATAATAAAAACATATCCCTTAAACCAAACATTATTATATTACATATCTCAGTTTTAACCAAACACAAGAATCTAACATTTCCACCAAACTAATATTCCGTGAACAAACGCCCCCTTAAGTCTTAAGTTTGGTCCTTTTACTTCTGATATTTCATGCATACTTTGGGCAATCGAACACATTAGACAAAAAAAATAAAAAAAAAAATCCTCCTAACTGTTGTGACTAAGCAGGATTTGTACTGGTAATTGACTTGAGGTTCGCATCAATCACGTCTTCTTGTTTAGTTGACGATAGACTTTTAACTCTCATTCTCACAAATTATTGGTGCGTACATTCTTTTTTTAGACTCACATAATGAAAATATCATATTCTTAATTCGTTGCATCTTGGAGTAAAAGTTAGGACGTAGAATTTTAGAATACATGTAGTATAACTCCCGACGATAATGGCTCCATCCTGACAAGCCTTCACCAATTTTCCTAAATAGCGGCTGCAAATATTGCAAGGTGTTGCAGCAAAATGAGTTAGTTAACCAGCCAACCATGTGTACAAATCTACAGCTATGGAACACAAATTTTAACTGACAACAATAAAATACTATTTTCATTTCTCAAATTCAGAATTATGTAATATTCTTTGAGAAATCCCAGTTAGAATGACATTGACTTGTCACTTACCTTTATATTCCAGCCAGACTTTGCACTGGTTTCAAAAAATATGACATCTAGTTCTCGAGCTTTAGCTTCTCCCTCCTCTTTTGAAACTTGCCTGTTAATAATATCCAATCAATTAAAAACAAAAACCACACAACTCTTAACCTACACATAAGCCTTATAATCCATTGATAAGATAGGTGGTCAAATGTTAAAAACTTAGTTATTAATAGTAACAAGAGATTTAAAATATAAAATAGTAAGAATATAGATTGAAGATCTACTAATCATGTATAAAGCACGAAAAATTGAACAAAATGCACGGGAACCTTTTTTCAACGAGATCAGTTTTATTCCCAACAAGAATAATGATAGCATCCCTTCCAAGATCATCCCGAACCTTCTCAATCCACTTTGAAGTATTAAGGAAGGACTGCCTATCTGAGCATAAAGAAAATGTCATGACATCAAGTGACAAAAAAATATTTTGCATAGGCTGAGAAAACAAATGGCTTATGAATATATGATGAAGCTACTAATAAGCGATCTCAATTTGGACCATGTTTCTTGAAACCAAGCAAGCTTTTCATCAAATGAAAAGGAAGCCATAAAGATTAGAGAGCGTACTTGCAACATCGTACACAATAACAGAACAATCTGAGTCTCTGATATAGCTTGGTATAAGACTCTTAAATCTCTCTATCCCTGCAGTATCCCTTTTTCGCCACCACAGAAGTAGAGCGATTTAAGAAGCATTTATTAAAAAAAAAAAAAAAAACAAATATCAATCCAATAACAGTTCCAACATATGTAGCATATTAATTTCACAGTGTAATCGAGAAGATAGTCTAATATTATTCCAGTGTAAATACTATGTATCACATACTACATAGGAAGAGTATACATCAATAAGATTAGTTGAAGAAAAGTTTCTAGTGCAACTAGAAAGATAACATTCAAGATAAGGAATATGGGAAGAAAGCAATTGGACTTAATCAGATCAGCAAGCTACCCTACATTGGTCCACACGTAGGATCACTACAATAGTAACAAACTAACAATACATCTTATGTACAAGAGATAGAAAGAGAATACGAAGTATTAATCAAGAATTTGTTAATACAAATGGATGTTTGAGAAGTGAAATTATAAGCACATATTAAAAACGCGATAAATAGCTTAAAAAATCCATTTATTCAGAAACATAACTTACCAAATCTGCAGTCTTACTTCATGATCTTCAAGGTACACTTTCTTTGACAGGAAATCAATGCCAATTGTTGCCTGAAAGATTTTTAAAGTGAATTTAGGACGAAAACACAGTATGTTTTCCACGTAGCAGTAAAGAAATTCTGCAATTTAGTTGACAAAGCCAATAAGAATGATCCAAGTCCAAATAATAAATTAAAATACAACTAATGTTGGTGTTCTTTCACCTTTGTTAAGTTAATGTACTATTAGTTTATTTGCAGATAATATATACTTTCTACAGATACAAAAGCCGCTACCAAAAGGTTGTCAACTGATCTGAAGTGTCTGATTGGTGGAAATTCCTGGTTAAGGATCCGAAAATAAAAGAAAAGGAACTACATACAAACAGTCTCAGACTTCAACACAAAATTCAATTCCTAGCAGACTTGAATGAGAAAGCAAATACATTCAGATCATAAATAAACTAAATGCCAACTTAACAAAGAGTCAATTTTAGTTCCAACAAAAATCAGTAAATCAAACGGAATGCAGGAGTCACAGCCAGAACGATCAGCTAAAAAATGCACAAGTGATTGAATTCCACTAACTTCGACGGCAAAAGCTTAAATCAAACTATAATAAACTAATCACAGGCACATTTACCTCGTATTTGTTATAGAACTTGTCGATCATAAAGCGAGTGATGATACTGCTTTTGCCGACAGACTCGTCTCCTAAGATGACGAGCTTGTACCTGGCACTGGTGAGGGCGGGAAACTGTCTACATAAAGCAAGTGAGTGATCATACTGGTTTTGCCGAAAGAACAATACAATATAATGAGCTCATATGCAGGGAGTATTTCTACATTAAATTGTTTGACCTATCCAATGATGACTAACAAGAAGAACCATTAGTTGCAGAATCAGCAGAAGCAAAATGTGTTTTTCTTGCCTTGGTATCATCCAGGTACTTCTGATATATGTAACTTCCAAAGCCCCACATTACCATTAGCAAAGCAATCACCTTGACAACATTCATCTTGTCATGCAGGATGATCACCGAAGCGATGGGAGTAACAGCCAAAGAGAATGTGCTGATAACATTGGAGAAGAGCGAGGAGGACGCCACAAAAATTAAACCCACGACGCCAACTGCAGCAATCTGCCATCCCAAGGCTGTCCATACCAGAACCTGCACATAGGCGGCTTTTCCTGTGGTGAAGGCGTGCATTTCTCCCGACAGAGACCTCCATTCCCCACTAGCAAACAGCCCAATGGTAGAGATACCAGTGGCTACCAGTGATGTGTATATTTGCATTTCCAGAACCACAGAAAACGTTTCTTTCTTTATAACTTTCTGAAATGAGAATTCCATCAGTGGAAGGATGAGGGAGTACAGTGCAGAAGCCACAGTAGCCGCTATAATTCCGATTATATATTTCCACCTAGTGATGCCCAAAGGCTTATCAGAGTCCTCGTTAATGGCAAGCAGAACAGCAGCAGATGTAAGGGCAATCACGGAGTTGAAAATCGACAGTGTAAATTTTTTACTATTAATGAAGAAAGAAAAAATAGCATTAAAGACTAGCAGTGTGGCACATATGAGGGAATAGGTTGAGGCTGAGAGGTACAACAATGCAGTAGAGTATAGCATCTTATCCCCGGCAATGAGGGCACCAAGTAAGAAATAGATAATTGTAACTTTGATGATAGAAGGCGGAGGCGGAGGTGGGTTTGATGAATTTGATTGTTCTTTGGGAGAAGGAATAAGAAAATAATAAGGAATTAAAAGAATAGGGAAACCAGCTGTTTGAACAAGAGTGGCTAACCATTTACTATTTCCACCTTTCTCATAGTAAAATCTTCCAAGAATAATAGCAGCCGCCTGACCAACAAGAAGGAAAACCATATTAAGAGCCAATTGGAGCCAAAAATGCGACCGTTTGAGCTTCATAAGTGGGCCCCTTCTATTTGAACCATCTTCAATGTCTGCTATGCATCAATACAGATGGTAAACAATTCAGCAGGAAATCACAAATAATATGCAGTCAACGGAAGAACTTTCACCCACCTACCAATATAATAGAGATTAATGAAAACTAAACTAGCTAGCTTCATCAATACTCTGCTGCACAAGTAGATTTGCTTCGTTCGCTTTTGCAAAAACTAACTAAATTGCTTGTTCAGTATTGGCAAATATTAAGAACGGGAATCAAAATCTTTTCCTTATAAGAAACTATCAATATTCAATACACATAGATCATTCCACCTTCATAAGAAACTAACAATATTCACTACACATATATCATTCCTTCATAATAAACCAACAATATTCACTGCGCATAGATCATTCCTTCATAAGGAACTAACAATATCCACTGCACATAGATTATTCCTTCATAAGAAACTAACAGTACTCACTGCACATAGATCATTCCTTCGTAAGAAACTAACAATATTCACTCCACATAGATCATTCCTTCATAAGAAACTAACAATACTCACTCCACATAGATTATTCCTTCATAAGAAACTAACAATATCCACTCTATATAGATCATTCCTTCGTAAGAAACTAAAAGTACTCACTGCACATATATCATTCCTTCGTAAGAAACTAACAATATTCACTGCATATAGATCATTCCTTCATAAGAAACTAACAATACTCACCCCACATAGATTATTCCTTCATAAGAAACTAACAATATCCACTCTATATAGATCATTCCTTCATAAGAAACTAAAAGTACTCACTGCACATATATCATTCCTTCGTAAGAAACTAACAATATTCACTGCACATAGATCATTAACAATATTCACTGCACATAGATCATTCCTTCATAAGAAACTAACAATACTCACTGCAAATAGATCATTCCTTCATAAGAGACTAACAATATTCACTCTATATAGATCATTCCTTCATAAGAAACTAACAATTTCATTGCATATAGATTATTCTCAATGAAACTAATGCCTAATAAAAATGAAAAATTAAAAAAAAAAAATGCAGTCATTAATTGCTTCTAACTTCTATTCAAAACAAACATGGTAATCCTATTTTCACCCATAGACAATCCACATGTATAACGCAAAATTCACCTCAAAAATGTAGTATACTAGAATACTAGTTGACCTACTGTGAGTAAAGTAATATTAATATATTAACAAGATCATCACTCACTATCTAAAATCTAAAATTAAAATTATGTACAAGAATTCAAATGAATCATTTACAGAGAGGTAGAGAGGAGAGAGACCTGCCATGGAGTGATGGAGGGATGAGTCCGTACAAGGAAAACGTAAAGAGCCGCATTGCGAGATGGAATGAAGAGAGAGCGTATTAATCTGCGTAAAAACTAAGTGATTCGTTACAAAAAGGAGCTAACCGTCCATTACAATTGAGAGTTTGTTAAGAGGAGGGCCGAAAAATTCAATAAAAAAAAATTATAGTTGTAATTATTATTATTTAAATTAAACATGTCAAAATTCAATCTACTTGATAACTGCAGAGTATAAATTTAATAACAAAATTAAATAAAAATGTCTAAAATTAACAAATAAAATAAATAAAATAATAAACTTTCTTTTAAGAAATAGATTAACATTCAGAGTGGTGGCCAACTAACAACCACTCTTAAACGCTAACACGCGTTTGTTAGGGTGGTCCGTGCGCTTTAAGCGAACGTAGCTTCTGTTGCTCTTAGGGACTTTAATTTAATTTTTGTTTAATTTTTTGCTTGATGAAAAAGAGAAAGTATGAAAGAGAGATTAATGATTGCTTGCATGAGAGATGATTTGTTTGTGCGCTTCATAAGATATTAAAAAAATACAGCTAACTGGTGCATGTCCAGCATGCACTGATGCACTGCTGGAGGTGTTAAGGTGGTTGCCAATAATTTTTTTCTCAATTCTCTCACACATATTCTCTCTTTAAAATATTAAATTTCACAGTCTAGACTAATCAATACACTAGAGGAGGTAAATCACGAGTCACACAAACAATCTCCTAGTGAGTTCCTATCATTGGGTACAAGTAATCCATGTCCATATTTCCGTCAAGTTGACATGAACAGTAATATTTGCTACAAAACTGGATAAAGTGAATAGTAATATTTCTTACCAGCACACTACTTTTAGACCAAATGAGAAATGCGCCCACAGCTTATCTATAGAATGGAGCTCAGAAAATGCTACATCAAAGTTGCCTTGGTCAATATGAGCAACCAAAGAGAGGGAGGGAGGGAGGGGAGGTGTAGAATATCAGAGAAAACCACCATTGCTCTGTCAAACTGCAGCTGACTGCTAATCCTTGAAATCTAATAAAACTGCTTTTTGTTATACAAAACTGCAAAAATCCATACAAATTTTGACCAAAAGGGGTGGCATAGGTCTATAACTGATATAGAAATGACTCGCAAGTAAACTATAATGGTAATCTACTATATGTTCAACACTTTCTGATAGATCAACAATGGCTAGGACTCAAATGCAATCAAGGACAGGCTTTACAGATCCGCTTTAGGTTCAAAGGCAGCATGTAAGATCCAGACACGGGATTGAGATGTTCAAACATGTTGTTAACAGGCACATCCTCCTGACTGTTGTGACTGTGCAGGATTTGTACTGCTTGACTTGAGGTTCACATCAACCATGTCGTCTTGCTTAGCTGACGATAATGTCTCCATTCCTGGCAAGGCTGCAGCAATTTTCCTAAATAGTGGCTGCAATTGATGCAAGGCATTGCAACAAAATGAGTTAACCAGTCATGTGTACAAATCTACAGCTATGGAACAGAAATTTTAACTGACAACAATAAAATACTGTTTTCATTTGTCAAATTCAGAATTATGTAAATTCCATTTCATCATAGAACCCGAGATGTTCATTAAGAAATTCCAGTTAGAAAGACATTGTCACTTACCTTTATATTGAAGCCAGCCTTTGCACTGGTTTCAATAAACATGACATTTAGTTCCCGCGATTTAGCTTCTCCCTCCTCTATTGAAACTTGCCTGTTAATAATATGGGGCAAAGAGCCAATCAATTAAAAACAAAAAAGAGCAACAGAAAAGGGAATATGTACAGAACTCTTAACCTACAGACAAGTCCTTGAGATGATCCCTTGATAAGATAGGTCAAATGTTGAAAACTTAGTTATTACTCCGTAATAGTTACATGAGATTTAAAATTAAAAATAGGAAAAATATAGATTTAAGGTCTACTAATCATGTATAAAGCAGGAATAAGGGAAAAGAATGTATGGGAACCTTTTTTCAACAAGGTCAGTTTTATTCCCAACAAGAACAATGATAACATCACTCCCACGCTCAGTTCGAACCTCCTCAATCCACTTTGCAGTATTAAGGAAGGACTGCCTACCTGAGCATAAAGAAAATGTGGTGACATCAAGTCAGCAAACAAATATTTTGCATAGGCTGAGAAAAAGAAATTGCATATGAATATATGATGAAGCTGCTAATAAGCAAAATCTCAATTTGTACCATGTTTCTTCAAACTAAGCAAGCTTTTCATCAAATGAAAAGAAAGCCATAAAGATTAGAGAGCGTACTTGCAACATCATACACAATAACAGCAACAGATGAGTCCCTGATGTAGCTTGGTATAAGACTCCTAAATCTCTCTTGCCCTGCAGTATCCCTTTTTTGCCACCACAGAAGTAGAGTGATTTAAGAAGCATTTGTACAAAAGCATATATCAATCCATAACAGATCCAACATATGTAGCATATTAAATTAACAGGGACAAAGGTTCAAATTAGCCACCGAACTACACACAAAAGTGCAATTGGGCCATCCAACTAAAAAAGTGTAATTAGGTCCCTCAACTGTCTAAAATTATGTAATTCGACCAAATTTGACATGTCCCTCAAGTCATGTTGACATGACGGTCATCCCATTATTTTTTAATAATAATAATAATAATTTTAATTATTAAAAAAAAAAAAAAAAAAAAAGGAAAACTCCCCCTCCCCATCTTCGTCTCAGCTTGAGACAAAGATGGGGAGGGGTGTTTTTTTATTTTTTTTTTAATTTTATTTAGAATTATTAAAACAAATAAATAATAATAACTTTTAATAGGATGATCACCACATTAGCGATCACCCAAGGAACAAGTCAACTTTGGTCCTGAATAGCATAATTTTAGAAAGTTGAGGGACCTAATTGCACTTTTTTTGAATTGGATGGCCTAATTGTACTTTTGAGTATACATCAATAATATTAGCTGAAGAAAAATTTCTAGAACAACTAGAAAGATAACATCAGTCTTATGTCACGATAAGAACTATGGGAAGAAAGAAATTGCAATTAATCAGATCAGCAAGCTATCATAAGTTAGTCCAAACTTAGCATCACTACAAAACATCTTATGTACAAGAGATAGAAAAAGAATATTAATCAAGAATTTGCCAATACAGATGGATGCTTTGAGAAGTGAAATTACATGCGCATTTTGGAAACGCAACAAAAGCCTCAAAAATAATTTATTCAGAAGCATAACTTAAATCAATAATTTGTCAACACAAATGGATGCTTGAGAAGTGAAATTATATGCCGCATATAGGAAAGGCTATAAAAGCCTCAAAAAATCATTTATTCAGATGCATAACTTAAATCAAGAATTTGTCAATACAAACGGGTGCTTGAGAAGTGAAATTATATGCCGCATATTGAAAACGCAATAAAAACCTCAAAAAATCATCTATTCATAACGATAACGTAAGTCAAGAGTTTTTCAATACAAATGGATGCTTGAGAAGTGAAACTATATGCCCCATATTGGTAACACGATAAAAGCCTCAAAAAATCATTTATTCAGAAGCATAACTTACCAAAGCTGCAGTCTTACTGTACGATCTTCAAGGTACATTGTCTTTGACAGGAAATCAATGCCAATTGTTGCCTGAAAGATTGTTAAAGTGAATTTAGTACCAAAATACAGTAAGTTTTCCATGTAGCTGTAAAGAAATTCTGCAATTTAGTTCACAAAGCCAATAACAATGATACAAGTCCAAATAATAAATTAAAATACAATTATCAATGAGGGTAGTTCCACTTGATTAATGTTGGTGTTCTTTCACCTTTGTTAAGTTAATGTACTATTAGTTTATTTGCAGATCATACTTTCTACAGATACAAAAGCCGCTACCAAAAGGTTGTCGGTTGTCACTGTTAAACTGATCTGAAGTGTCTGATTGGTGGAACTTCCTGGTTAAGGATCCGAAAATACTACAGTCTCAGACTTCAACACAAAATTCCTAGCAGACTAGAATGAGAAAACAAATACATTCAGTCTATTCAGATCATCAATAAACTAAAATGCCAACTTAACAACTAGCCCATTTAAGTTCCAACAAAAAACAGTAAATCGAACGGAATGCAGGAGTCGTGGCCAAGACGATCAGCGAAAAAAATGCACAAGTAATCGAATTTCACTACCTTCAACAGCAAAAGCTTAAATCAAACTATAATAAACTAATCGCAGGTGCATTCACCTGGTATGTGTTATCGAACTTGTCGTACATAAAGCGAGTGATGATACTGGTTTTGCCGACAGACTGGTCTCCTAAGAAGACGAGCTTGTACTTAGCGAGGGCGGAAACCGGAGCCATCAATCTGATCAACGGGAGTAGCTTCTCGAACCGCTAGGATCGGATCGGATCAGGATTTTCCGACGGAGGATTTGAGATCTCGTCGGAAAATGACGAGACGCGTTTGAGGGAAATCAGAACAGGAGAGCTTGTCTACGTCCGCTGTATTCCTAATCGTTGATTGAATATGGGCGGAGGAATAAATATGCTTCAGGTTCTGAATGTGCAGTTCGGATCGGGTTGAACGCGGGGGGCGAAACTGGCATTAAAAGAGTTGTTGCCGGGTTACACATCACGTTCCTCTCTGTCTCTGATTTGCTACCCTGGAAAACGGAAATAATCAAATCAAATATACTATTTCTGGATGGTTCCTTGGATATTTGTATTTTAAAATGTTGTATCGATAAATTTAAAAATTCATACTCCGTATTAAATTGACAAATGTATAATTACTCGGCAAATTATAGAGTTTTTTGCACTTTTAATGCCACGACTATAGTGGTACTGGCAAAATTGATTCACGACTTTTGAACCTTGCAATTTTAGTCCACGACTATTATTTTTTTGCAAAAATGGTCCTTCCGGCCACTTTTCTGTCAAAATTTCACCGGAAAAAAAAATTCTCCATTTTTAGCCGGGTTAAAATTGACATTTTACTTATCTCAACAAATTAAAAGAAAAAAATTGATATTTGACTACATCCAATATTACTGGGCTACATACTACTGCCCCAGGCGGCGGAGTTCCTGGAGCAGGCAGGCCTGTCAGTAAGCGGCGGAGCGGCCGTGGCGTTCCCCGGGCTAGTTGGGTTATCCGGCAACAGCATTGGAGTGGTACATGTACCCCGCTGCCTGGGGCAGTAGTATGTAGCCCAGTAATATTGTATGTAGTCAAATATCAATTTTTTTCTTTTAATTTTTTGAGATAAGTAAAATGTCAATTTTAACCCGATTTAAAATAGAGAATTTTTTTTCCCGGTGAAATTTTGACAGAAAAGTGGCCGGAAGGACCATTTTTACAAAAAAATCAATAATCGTGAACTAAAATTGCAAGGTTCAAAAGTCGTGGATCAATTCTGCCAGTGCCACTATAGTCGTGGGACTAAAAGTGCAAAAAACTCGCAAATTATACCATGGACTATCATGTATTGTAGATACTGATTCAAAAATAAATTTCAAATTCTATATTTATAGTTAAAACATTCTGTACATATAGTTTATTGTTTCTGTATTTTTAGTTATCATATTATGTGTTATCAATTATCCAAAAATAACCTTCAGATTATATATTTATAGTTGCCTATCTCTACAGTTGATAGTTTCAGTATATGTAGCTATCATATTATGTGTCAGTAATTATCAAATTATTTATTTACATATACATAAACTATTAACTGTATGTACATAATGTGTTAACTGAAGGTACAGAATTCACAATGCGATATGAATTCTGGTCCATGGTATAACAGTTGTAATTACTCGCTAGTCGGCCTCACTTATTGACGGTCCTCTAAATCCCTAGTCCAATCTTATACGGAGTATTATTATTATTATTATATTATGACAAAAATGGTCAAGTCAAGTAGATAGTGCAATTGAGTCCCTTAAGTAATTAAAAAAAAAAAAAAACTATTCAGATCCTTTAAGCCTGTAAAAATGTCCAATTAAGTCCAAACTAACCTATTTACCCGGTTACTTCTCCAAAAATTTGACATGTGCCTTTTTAAATAATTTTTATTTTTTAAATTTATTTATTATAAATTAAGAAAATCTAAAAAATTTTTAAAAAAATTTACAGCATCCTCTGTCCTCGCCGGACAACCGGTGCTGTCGAAGCATGACGAACGACGGCCAAGGCCATCTGGAACGAGGGCGGCGGCCATAGCCATGCCTGCTGCCCTTGTTCCAGATCTGGACCTCAAGATATATTACTAATCTTCGTTCTCAACTTTTAATATGATCATAAATAGTTACTTGATTATTGATTTTGTTTCAAATTTGGTCCTTCAATTAAATATTTATTTAATAAACATTATATTTATTATAAATAAATATTAAGTTTAGAAATAATAATGAAAAATAGTTTGTTGTTGAAATGAATACATTGAGTTTATAAGTTTAAGGAATAAGGTTCAAATTGGCCTGAACGTAACCTGAAAATGCAATTAGGCCACTGAACGAAAAAAATTGCAATTAAGCCACTGAACACTCCAAAAATGTGCAATTTCACCTGATAGCAGGTTACCCTCAATTTTAGCAGGTTATCTGCTTACGTGGCAGCTGAGTTGGCATTTTTAATAAATTTTAAATCATTTTTAATAAATTTTAATTATAAATTTTTATTTAAAAAATTTTTAAAAAAATAAAAACGACTTTATTTTATTTTTTATTTAATATTTTTTCAATTTTTTATAAAATTTATTATTAAAATTAATTATTAAAAATGCCAACTTAGCTGCCACGTAAGCAGGTAACCTGCTAAAATTGATGGTGACCTGCTATCCGGTGAAATTGCATACGTTTGGAGAGTTCAGTGGTCTAATTGCACGTTTTTGGAGTGTTCAGTGGTCTAATTGCACTTTTTGTTCGTTCAGTGGCCTAATTGCATTTTCAGGTTACGTTCAGTGGTCAATTTGAACCTTATTCCTAAGTTTAATATATTGAGTTTATCATTGTGAAGAAATAAAATTTTACATTATTACTCTCAAATGTAATTTTTATTAAAATAATATTTAATTAAAGGATTAAGTTTGGGAAAAAAATAATAATCAAGAGAGTATTTATAATTAAACTGAAAGTTAAAAATAAAAATTAGTAAAGATCAATGGTTTCAATTTATGGTCTAATTGAAAGTTGAATGATAAAATAAAATTTAGGAAGAAATTTCAATTTTGGTCATATGACTATAGGGGTCTTGTTAATTTTAGTCCCTGACTTTCAAAAGTGTAAATAACTATGCAATTTTTATCAATTTTGATCATTTTGACCAAATTGTCGGCTAAATTTTGTCGAAAAATTTTAATAATTAAAATAATAAGGGTATTTTGGTCGTTTCACGCCTCTTTTCTTCTTCTCCGACGAGTCCACCCCTTTCTCTCCCGTTTTCGACATTCTTTCTCCTTATAAAGTTGTAAACTCTATCTTTAATATCATCAAGCCTCCTTTCTCCATCATCTTAGTTCATTTCATTCGTCGAAAACGGGAGAGGAAGGGATGGACTTGTATGAAAAGAAGAGAAAGAGACGTGAAATGATCAAAATATCATTATTATTATAACAATTAAAATTTTAACAAAATTTGACCTGTAATTTAACCAGAGTAATTAAAATTGACAAAAATTACATAATTAAAGTACTAAATTAACAATTTTAAAAATCAGATACTGAAATTAACAAAACCCTATAGTCTTAGAACCAAAATTGAAATTTCCACTAAAATTTAGTAAAAGACAATACTCAAAGACTATCGATACAGTGAGTGAAGAATTTCAGAAATGGCGTCGGCGTTGAGATCGGCCGTGCTCCGTCACGTTCGTTTGCCAGTTTCCGAAGCCCTTACGGCGAGGGGATCGATGCTTAGCTCAGCCCGATGGATGTCTTCGCACGACGACCACCTCAGCAAGGCGGAGGTCGTTGAAAGAGTCCTCGACGTCGTCAAGAGCTTCCCTAAAGTCGATCCTTCCAAGGTCTCAACTTCCATTCCCCTTTATTTTCTCTGTTTGTCAACGCTGATGAGATCTAACACCCTGGCAAACCGCTAATTTATTTGTGAATCCTGAAAATCTTTGAATGCTGATTCATATCTAGGTATTAGGTTAAAATTGTGAAGTTTATTGCAATTGTTGATACGAAGGATTAGCAATACGTATTGCTGAACCATTATCCATTAGGTTTGTTTTGGAGCTTCTTGTGTTATTGGGGTAACTGAAAAATTCTTTTATTTTACATCACTTCATTATAAAATTTTAGTTGATTATCAGAATGATGTTTTCTTTTTCATATTTGTGCTTATTGATCAATCATACGGAGAATCTACAATTGAAGCTATAGTGACTTGATAGTTAATATGCAGAATGGTTGTTTTCAAGTTTTGTTTCTTCACTGAATTTGGTGCTCTTAGCTGAGTTATAGGTTTGTTGTCATAAACATTGATTTTTATTTTATTTGAAAAGGGCGGAACATCAATTAAAATTGATTTGGATGGAAACATTGGATTTTAAAATGCTTTCCCACAAAAAGGCGAAATCCCTTGCCCCAATGGCAGATCTTAAAATTCTAATCAGATAGTTACCATGGAAAGTTGTGATGTTTAGACATCTTTCAGTTGTTAGATGACAATTTCCCTATGTGGATAAATGTTTAGTTAGGAATACTAACAGTAAATGGTAGACTTGTGGGTAGACCGGTAGAACAAATGATGTTAACTATTGAGGGTGTTATTAAGGGGGAAGTGTGTCTTTTTCCCTGAATTGATTTTTTTTTTTTTTTTTTAATGTAATGTGTTTATTTATTCATTTGGTATATTAGGAGAGCGCGGGGGGTTGAAGTACATCTAGGAGGTCTCATCTTGAACAATGAGCAAAGGGCCATGGTTTTTTATGCTCTTATTATTGATTGGTGATCTTTCTCACTGCAGTGCCTTGTATCCAGGGAAATTGCAGAAAATCCTTGTAATTGTCACAAATAATTAGACTGTTTGGAGTGTTGAAGCATCTAATTGATATGAACCGCTGAAGTTCCAAGCAAATGTAGGCCAGATAGGTTTTCTTTTGGGAGTTGAGGTTATCCATTATATAGTTCTACCTCTCAATCTGGCACAATGTTTTACAGTAAAAATGTAAATATGTAATGATGTTTTCCTTATGGCTTAAGTGAAATTTGGCAACTAGGAGACTAGAAGTAGTAGTTCCAAGTCTTCTCTTTCTGATGAATATTAATTTATTCAATTTTTCTTGTACTGTCACGGTGTCACCTGTGATTTATTATGTCCTACTGTTACTGTAAGCAGATAAAATTTTTATTATAAACAATGTAGCTTTTCTGTGTTCTAATTTAATGGGTGGGGAGGTGGTGCATTAGTGAGGGTGGCAACACATTCAACTGAAAGAGCAAAGTACTCGTTGACTAAAGTGCATTTATATGCCCGTCAAAGAGCACGAAGCGTTATGAAAACAAGATTTTATTTTTGCTTGGAATAGTAAATAAATAAATGAAGGGTTCATAAGAAAATTTTGTATTCATTCATATCTCATATAGTTTAAAATCTAATCTGTTATCCGTGTTTCTTGTGAAATTGTGCAGGTGACTCATGAAGTCCATTTTCAGAAGGATCTGGGCTTAGATAGCTTAGATAACGTGGAGATAGTAATGGCTCTAGAGGAAGAGTTCAAACTGGAGATTCCAGACAAGGAGGCTGATAAGATTGACTCATGTGCACTTGCAATCGAGTATATTTCTAACCATCCTATGGCAGGTTAAGTTTAAGCACCATTTCTAGGGGTTGGATTTTCTTTGAAAACAATAGTACAGTCTGCCCCTTTTTCTTTTGCTTATAAGCTAAATACATTAGGTAGAGGTAATAATCATACTATTCGGCCCCTTTTTCTTTTGCTTATAAGCTAAATACATTATGTAGAGGTAATAATCATACTATTCGACAGGAGTTCTATGAACTTCAAACTTTATTCATTTTTCAACATGCTACGCTCTCTGTCCTCTAGAGATTTTTGCTTCCCTCAATTGTCATGCAATGTATTTTTGGAGCCCTTCATTGACACATGTTTTATACTTTTTGTGTTTGGCCTAAAACCCTAACTTACATTTTGCATCAATTCTTGGACTGTTAGAAACTCATTCTGTAATATTTGTTTGTGTTAACTTTGGATGGAAAGACAGTTCAACATGAGTGAATCCGGTTGGAGCTTAATGTCATTAAAAGCATTTCATATAAGTTGGAAATGTGCCGTTAAGGAAAATGCACCACAAAAACACACACAAATTAGGTACGCATCATCCAAAAAAATTATTAGGTGTGAGTAAAAACACCATACAGTGTTCGGAAATACACCATTAGGGTGTGGTGAGTTATATGGTATATTTTTTTTGGTTCTATTGTGTATTTTTTAGTGTTTTTTTTGTATTTCATTGTGGTGTGTTTCCCTTACATTGTTGGTGCATGTTGTTAACACTGTTGGTGTATTCTGAAATTCCGCCGCACTTAAGGACATCGCTGCATTTGAACTTTTTCCTAGTGCATTTTGAAAATTAAATTTAATTTGAAAAATTCTATAATGCCATAAATAGTAATATAGTATTAAAAAAAAAGGGTAAAAATATTTTGTAGCCTAAATTTATACGGAGTGGAACTTTAAGAAACTTATCCAAATCCTTTACCTACTAAAGGTCAAATCTCTAGCCTCAGTGATCCCCACATCTTGGCTGACAAGATCGTGGAGGTATAAATCATTACTTGGAACTGCCATTACAATTGGAGTTTGATGAAATCTTACTAATAGGGAATATACTAGTATGACGGATGTATTTAAACGAGACCGGTTGGAGCTAATCATCTTCGACAGTTGTTAACTCCATCTCCTGACCAGAGTTCCGACTCTAAACGCTCAATAGACTACACTTTAATTGATATCACACCAACTGTTCCCAATTGAACTTGATCAAAAAGTCTATTAACGTTATCAGTCGCTAAGCCTTTTGTCCCACAATTAACTCAAAGATATTCCCCGAACAAAATGAACAGTCATATCACATCCCATCACATCGAAGGTTATAGGATCCATAAGTAAATGTTTCATAACTAATATTTGATTTATGATTAATCTTATAGTTAAGTAACCATATCATGGAGCATTGATCTAATAGACCGGTGTGTTACTCAACATTTTAGATGTGTCCCATGCATACTTATGAATTGTATTTTTTTTTTTTTAGAGTAGGTTTATGTTAAATATATAATAATATTTAATTAAAATATAAATCCTGCTTTGTGATTTTAAGAGATAAAAAACTATTTTGTAATTTTAACTGGTAAATGACTAAAAAGATCAGAGATGATAAATCAGTCTAACCTAATAATGTGTTGTATGTGCTGGAGAGCTTAATATATAGCATGGCTAAGAAGCTAAGAATATGGACCAATGTTACGTTCTAGAGTCACAGTTACCCTTATGAATTGATGAAATGGAAATCTATCTTGATTTCCTAGCATACAGCCAAGACGACAATCAAGAACAAAGCTCGAGACAAACATTTCAGTGTACAGAAACCAAGATTGGACAAACAATTAACCAAAACCAAGGCAATCATGAACACCACGCCATCACCGCATGCAATCTCAATACCCTTTCCCTTCCTGAATCAGATGCATGACAGACAGCGCCATGGCAGACAACTGGAAAGTGGCGTTGTTCCTCTCCGACAACGGCGACACGCCGCAGTCCTCGCATTCCGCCGCCGCGTCCATGACGGCGGAGAGCTTAATGTTGGCGTCTTCATACTTCTTATCCCTGTAATCCCTCAACGCCCCTCCCAAGTCGGGGGCGGCGTCAGTGTACAGCTCGTAGCAGTGATCAACGCACCGCCGCAACCGGTGCTCCACCTTCCCGCCTTTCACCAAAGCCGAGATGTAGCGCCTCGTGTCCGTCACGTTGGTCATGATCAGGTTGATGCACGCCGTTCCTATGTCGCGCAGCGTTTCGCATTGCTTCGCCTTCAAGGCGGAGGTGCAGAAGGCGTAGTCGATGTTCGGGTCGGTCTTCGCACTGATATTGCAGGTCTTTTGGATCAGGATGTGCGTGGTGTACTTCTCCTTGGCGCCATGGATGACGAATGGGAAGATGGAGAAGGTAAGTAGGAGAATGATGGGAGATAAAGTTGCCATTATTTTTTTGTTCTTCTCTTTGGAGTAATTAAGATGTTCTTGCTTCTATCTAGTGATGCCATTTATATAGGTGAAAGTATGTCATTTGGGAGATAAAATAGGATCCATTTTGGTTCTATTTTGTCTCCATGACACTATTTATATACAAATTTTAATTAATACTTTGAAATTATTAAAATTTAACATTCAAAATCCAATATCTTAACTACGTTAAGACTAATCCATATTCAGCATGACCATGCCATCGAAATTTAACCATCGAAACTTATCCAAATGAGTTGTAAGAATAATTTAGGTCACACTCCCTAAACTTAAGCTCTTATATATCTAATAGATCATAATATTTCAGCCACTAAGGATGTACGTGATAAACCTCACTCTTGTTTAATAATTTGAAATATTTCAGTTACTACTTGACGAGGGTGTGTGGGGGTATACTGAGTAATTAACTTTACTATTGTATAATAGTCCGGAATACTTCAGCCACTATCTGAAGGTGTTCGAGGATGCACGGATAAACCATACTCTTGTGTAATATTCTATAATATTTCAACCATTACCTAAGGGTGTGCAAGACTGGATAAGCATCTCTCATGTGTAATACTCACAAATCATATATGCATGTGAGATAAATCGTACAAGAATACCATGAGTGATGGGTTCAATTGATCGGTAGGATTTTGCAAGAATCAGAAAATCAAGTTTTACTCATTTGGATAAGTTTGAGAATAATATTTTAATTTTTGTTATGAAATTTCAAAAAAAATTATAATGGAAATGGAGATTTATAGGGAATAATAGAATCAATCATTAAATAAACAGCCAAAAAAAGTTACGCGTGTTGTTGCAAGATAAGGGTTTGGTTTCAACAAATGCCATGATTATTTATACACAATAATAATTATGATTAGAAATATAAAAACAATTATAGTTTTTAAAGTTAAAGCTCTTCGTTTTCTTTTAGTACTATTAACTCTATTATTACGCCAAACACCTGGCCTTATGCTCATATGGTATGTAGTGATCTTTTCTAGGTAGGAGATCATAAGATCGAGCCTCAAAGTATGTTTGAACAGATACTACTACAATATATAATAGAGTCAGTAGCATTAAAAACAAAAAAGTGTCGGGTTATTCTAATTCGAACCAAATGAAATTATTTCAATTTCAAATTTTTAGAATTGAAATTCAAAACAAATAAAATGAAAAAAATATCTATAATATTAAATTAAATGGAAGATTTAAATTCTATCTAATTAGAAGAAATTCGGCATATCTATTTTGAATTGGAATTTTTTATTCTATTTTAATAGAATATATTTTCATTTTAGATTTATATGAATTTTGAATATAAATATGAATTCTGAAATTCCATTTCAATATTATCTTCAATTGACCTTCTCGGCATGGGCAACCTTTAATGGTTGCCCTCGTCAGAGAAGGTGAGCCTTTTGGTCAATGGTGATGTTTTTCGGTAAGATTTCGGTAAATTTTACTTATTTCTTTAAAAATAACATGTTTGAGGCCATGATTTAATTTGCACTTTTTAAAAGTTTAGGTATCTAATTAACTTTTGTGTAAAATTTAGGGGCATATTTGATCATTTTTCCAAAACATAATGAACACTTTCTAGTGACTTGAGAGTTTCTTCCAGGTCTCGTCACTTGAACATTAACATAAAATATGCCAGCTGGGTTTTTTGCGAAATTGATGCATCGGTCACAACAAATTTTGCCACATTTGGTGCAGTAATCCGTTCCCACTCTGGTACTTTTCTTGCAGCTATTTCTGGCCCCTTGAGACCGGTCGGTGAAGCCCGTCTTGTCGAAGCTCTTGCCATTAAGGAGGCTCTTTCTTAGTTGAAGGGTGAACGGTGGCGGAAAATTTGTTTCCTTTCGGATTGTCAACAAGTTTGCCATAGCTTCAATGACCCTTCTTATGACTTGTCATATGTCAAAACTATAGTTAGATATAGTCTTTCTATCCCCTCTAGTTTTCACGCTTTTATCATTAAACATATTAATAGATAAATGAATGTGCTTGCTCATACTCTTGGTCTGGCTGCATATAGGGCGCAAATTATGCCCTGGAAACGTGTTCACCGTGAATGATGAACACAAGTCCAAACGACGTCGTTTTTACGCAAAAAAAAAAAAAAAAATCGCGGATGTGGAGTTAACGGCGCCGTTTGATCAAATTATGAATTTTCTGTTATAAGATTATGAATGTAATGAAAATTCATAATCTCATAACAGACAATTCATAATTGCATAAAAGTAAAATATTTATTAAATTAAGAATTTTCTGTTATGAGATTATGAATTTTCTATTATGAGAATGAGATTATGAATGTAATGTAGATTCATAATCTTATAACAGAAAATTCATTATTTCATAACAGAAAATTCATAATCTCATAACAGAAAATTCATAATCTCATAACTGAAAATTCATAATCTTATAACAGAAAATTCATAATCTCATGGTTCCAAAGTGAATGTGTAATCTTATAACAGAAAATTCATAATTTCATAACAGAAAATTCATAATCTCATAACAGAAAATTCATAATCTCATAACAGAAAATTCATAATCTTATAACAGAAAATTCATAATCTCATGGTTCCAAAGTGAATGTGTAGACATGGTTCCAAAGTGAATGTGCAGGCATGGATTCATAATTTATGAATGTACGTGATTTCGGACGGGAATGTGTATGCATGGTTCCAAAGTGAATGTGCAGGCATGAATTCATAATTTATGAATGTCCGAAATCATTGCTCACCTCAAATTAAAGTGAAACCGCGAAATGTGAAAATGAAGAAGAAAAGTCACGCAATTAATTAAGAAAAAGAAAAAGAAAAAAAGAAAACGGTGTACTAACACCGTTGGAACCGTGTTCACCATGAATGGTGAACACGGTTCCATGGCATAACAATTGCACATAGGGGTGTGCAAACTTCGGATAATTTTTGATTAACCGACCGAATCGATAAAGTTCGGTTAACCGTTTTTGAACCGAACTTTTTCGGTTCGGTTAATGGTTAAAGGAATTTTAAAATTACGGTTAATTCAGTTCAAAAGGTCGGTTAACCGAAGTTTTTAATATATATATATATATATATATATATATATATATATATATATATATAAATAATAATATAAATATAAATACTAATTTGAAGTTATGGATGTTTGGAGTTTATAATTCATGTTTTTTATATTTTGTTATGAATTTATTATGATATGTATTTTATTTTAATTGAATTTATTATTTTATGTGTTATTTTTAGAATTTTAAATTTTAGCTTTTAAAAGTTCGGTTAATTAGTTAACTGACCGATTAATCGAAATAAATTTTAGTTCGATAAAATCAGTAGAGCAAACTTCGATTCGGTTAATGGTTAAAGAAAAAAATACTTCGATTAATTCGATTCAATTAACCGAACAGTTAACCGATTGAACACCTCTAGCTGCACATTCGGACCCTGGTATTCGTAGCTGGTTTGATGTTGTTCCCCATTGTATCATTCACTTGATTAATTGAATCTGGTTCTCTCAAAAAAAAAAAAAAAACATTTATCATAAAATATAATGAAGTAATGGACTAAAAAGCCCAAACTTTGAACCCAAAAGAAAATGAAGTTTTAAAAAAACACAAAATTAGTTCGGGTTTCGGCCCAAACATTAAACCCGAAAAACCCTGCTTTTGACATGTTTCGTAATTCGTAATCAGTCAGTCAGAGTCGCAGATAAGGAACGCTCTTCTCCATTTCAGCAATTGTGCTCCCCCTTCGGTGGCCGGCTCGTCGGCGAAATGGCCAACCTCCGGACGGCAATCGACGCCGCATTCTGGGACCTCAACGTCTCCACTTCCAGAACCCTAGACGGCATGGTCCGCCCCATTCCCGGCGATCCCATTCCCATGGACGGTGCTCGAGCCAGCCGAGTCCTCAGAATCCAGCAGCTCTCTCTCCTCGGAAATGGCTTTCCTCTCGGACTCGTCCCGTCTTTCTCTCCTCCGTCTAAGAAGGAACTCGGCCCCTTAGCTCTCCAGACCGTCTTTTTCAAAACTGCCATTTCCAAATGGTACCGTTTTTCTCTACTCCCCTTAGAAATGAAATGTTATTTTCACCGTACATATTTGGATTCTTCGAGATTTTAAATTACATTAGCATAGACTTGGCGTTATGTGGAGTTGTTGATACTTAGTTCATTTGAATTGTAGGTAATTAAGTGCTTAGTAGGTACATAATCTCATTTTAAGGCATGCCACATATATTCATATGTATTCACTGCATTAATACTTGTTTCCTGGCAAAATTATATGATTGGGGATTCTCTGTTGATTGAAAGAACAAAAAGAGGAGAAAATAGCAAATAGATTGATGTAGCAGACTTGATTCTATTTCATGTTCATGAGTTTAGATTTTAGAACTTCAATCACTCCTGTATGCAGGAAAAATGTTGAAGTGACCTTGTTATATTGTTATCTGTTCTTCTTCATTTCACTCCCAATTGTTAGCAGAACCATTGTATAAAGTAGCTGTTACTCAAGTACATTGTATACTGTTTCTTTGGTCTTTAACAATTCTAGCTACTTCTTGATTGCTAAAATGTTCAACCTATACAGTTTTGTAAGCCCACCTCGTGCTCATCTTGAGTTGATGATTGTTTTCATTTTGTTCTGTATCCTTTTCTCCCCCATTGCCAAATTAATGTTTCTGCAAAATTTTCTTCTCTCTTATTTTCAACTCATTACATGCCCCAAGTAATCCATGACGTGTGGTTAATGCTTTATATTTTCTAGGTGGGTTGGATTAGTGGGGCAAGTTCGCCCAAAGAAACTGATATCTAAACTAAAAGCGGAAATAGAGGTCATCAAAGCAGATATACGTAAAATAACTGATGATGATGACTGGGAGTTTGAACTTCCGGTATTCCTGCCAATATTCAAGAATCTGCATAAGTGTTTTTTGGACAAATCATTTTATTCGCTTGGTGTAAACTCACACATACCCCTGACGGATTCATCTTCCATATTGTTGAGCATGGAGCAGCCTGGTGAGGAGGGCTGCCGCCGCATGAAGGCAATGTATATGCACAAGGCAAGAATCTAACTTCTTTAGTTTATTATCTGCTGGAATCAATTATTGTTTCCACTTTCCTTTGGTAATTGTTTTCTCTTAAATCTTATGCTATGTTGTTCTACTTCGTCATGTCTCCTTGGTCCGTTGTAATTCTTATTTCTACATACACATAAGCGAATTGCCTATAAGTCTATAACAGATGATGTTAGTTTCTGGAACTATTTTTTAGCATGTGCAACCCCGTTATTACATCATTATCATATGCTCCTATACTTGTGTCTAATTTTATACTACTTTAACGGATATTGCATTTAATCATTTCCTTTTCTTCCAGCTTTCTGATCATGATGTTACTTTGGAAGCAGCATGGCCTGAGCGATTCATAGACCACAAAGGAAGATATTGGGAGATTCCAGAGTCAATATCCTTGGACTGCTCCTCACTTGAAGATTTAACTGGATGGAAATATCGATTTGGTATCCATAAAAATAGTGGCCAGCCAGTTGCAGTTGATAACAGTGATGATGCAGTGCATCCTGCTCTGATGCCAGGACTATGCGCAAAAGGTGCCGTTTCGTATGAGAAGCATAAAGACCTCTGGAGAGAGGTGGAGAGAGAAAAGGATGTCATGATACGGACAGAGAAAGGACTGTATTTCAGACCTGCTTATGATGTTCGTCTAAGGGAGCCTCATGCAAAAATATCTGGAATTATTGGTAACTTGCAATAGTGAAGTTGCATCATTCATTTGTTTTTTTTTACCCCTGAAAGTATGATACCTAATTATCGGGAGTTGGGTTATTTTCTTGACTCAGTTTGACCATTCCTGGCAGGTGGAACTTTTGCTGCTTGGGTTGGTGGTGGAAATAACTCTCTCATTACAGAGTCAAGGGAGGATAGAGAGAACACTCCTTACTCTAGGAGGCGCCCCTTAGGTGTTGATTTATTTGGCTCATTTTGCTACACTCTCCAGCATGGCAAATTCAGAAAGCGATATAACGACCTCACCAGAATAGATGCTCGCTTGGACGTCTCTTCTGCTGTAGCAATAGCCAAACGGGTTTCAAGAATTTTCAGAAGTGCTTCCAACACAAGAGATTCACTGTCTACCCCCAGGCTGAACTTGATCTTTCAGCAGCAGGTAAAATTATTTTTTGAAGTTTGAATGAACACCCTATTAAGTTTTTCTCAGTAAATATGAATTAATCACGAAATATGCACTTCATCCCTGAAACTCTTGAAATATGTTTGAAAAATATTGGGAAAATATTAACTTTTGTTCTCTAAATCTCAACATGCCACATTATATGCTGACCAGTAAACCAACTGATGTTGGCATCGAGGCATAAGCATTAAAGATAACCGTTCAAGAGGTGCATGTCTTATATATCGAATGGAGCATATAAATTCTCTAAATTCGGTAAATCACTTATAGCAATACCACATTACCACAGAATCCACGAGTGTAATCATGCCTCAAGGTTTTGTAATGCAGAAAAGCACTTAATGTGTTATCTTGCAAGAGATAATTTGTTTCTTGAATCATACAATGCAGGTTGCTGGACCAATCGTGTTTCGATTAGACTCAAGGTTTTGTATTGATTCAATATATGGGGTACCTGTCCCAAAATTAGAAGATTATGTGCTTAGCTTGAACTACTCTCTTAGACTACTGCATTCTGGGAAAGTGGTGGCATGGTATTCTCCTAAGAGGAAAGAGGCCATGGTTGAGTTGCGGCTATTTGAGTTTTGAAAATCTACTTCTTGTTTAACTACTTTTTTGTAGTTAGGGTGGTTATGTTCGTTTGTATGCAAGCAATTCTATTGCCTGTGACTTTCACAAGGCTTAATGTTACCATGAAGCTCTTTAAATACTCCCATTCTTTCGGTCTTTCCTTTTGATGCAAAATTTCAATATTTTTCTATGGTATTGACAAACTATATTATGCTCGGAAATGTTAACTTTAGCTCAATTTACTTTTTCATGAACCCGGAAGCATATCCATGTATCCATGGAGTCTAAGATATTAGTTTAGCTCAGCATATCTATGGAGTCTAAGATATTAATTAGCAAACTGGTAAATTATTAGTAATCGTTACCGATCAGCTTAAAAACTTATTTGCACCTTATTTGCACTAGATTATACCTGATATTGTAAACTTTCTCAAGATTTTATAACTCAAATTAACTGAAAATTTTGATTATTGTTGAGTAGTTTTCATGTTTTTGGTCAAGTTCACTTTTTTGGAGGGTTTCCGGTGACAAAGGAAAATTCACAACTACTATTCAAGGGTGTGTACTGGATAAATTTTGCCTTTAAGTTATGACCTTAGCTGGCAAAGAACAGAGGTAAACCAACCTAAGTTGCCAATAACTAACCGGTTCAAGCCAAGAAAGGCAAGAAGGTTAAGTTATGACCTTAGCTGGCAAAGAACAGAGGTAAACCAACCTAAGTTGCCAATAACTAACCGGTTCAAGCCAAGAAAGGCAAGAAGGCTACGATTTGAACCCATGACCTTGATTCAAGTCAAGAAAGGCAAGAAGGCTAATATTTGAACCCATGACCTTGTGATTACGGGTTTGTATGTTTAGCCATCTTGGCTGGGTTACCCCGGTTTAGTTCACTTTTGAATACCTGGTAAAAGGGGATCAAATACTACAACATGACACAATGGGCAAGGAAAGCAAACAACTCTTAAGCCAAAATACTATGTATATTGACCAAACAGAGAATGAAAATAAACATATTTCAGTATTCAAAATCTAGTCTTGATGTTCAATGACATGACAAAGCTAGAATACATGAAGCAATGTGCCGTCATCTCCTGAGTTAAACCGGAGGCAGCGATCCTGCACAAGTACAACTCGAAACACTAACGACGCGAAAAATAGCATGTCTGCATTGCCTTTGTAAGTGCGCAATCTATTCGACCACGGCCAACAAGTCACCCTCTTTACAGAAAACATGCCTTTCCTCAGTTCCCAAGTTCACCTAGCAGAAAATCGAGACAATCGTGTTTCAGTCATGCACAATTCACACGACACTTGATTTGATTCAAAGTAACCTCAAAACAGAGTTTTGTTAATGGTTGCAGTTTGTTCTAGATTCCTAGTATCCTTTGACCGCATTTCTAACAATGTAGGTTCAAGAATGTGTTTATATGGAAAATATCATCATAATAAGAACAACATACCTCATAAGCATTCACGTCAGAGAAAAGAACCTGTGCAAAAAAAAAAAAAAAAAAAAAGTATTCCAATCAGATAAACATAGCTAAAACCCGCGAAAATCAAACAATGCTCCATTCTTAAAGCTTACCTTCTTCCCAGTCTCCACTTCAGAAACCCCGGTTCCGACAGAGAGAATCTACAAGAATATACATACATTTTTTGGTTAAGCATCAAAGTAATACCAAACTCTAAATATGTAAAAGCGAACAATACTAAGCTTGAACTCTACACTACCCACCTCTCCCATAAGATACCGTTCAAACTTCACCGCAGATTTAGGGAGCAAAATGCCTCCAGCAGATTTCTGCACAAGAACCCCATGCATTAAAAACAACACTTTTTTCTTTTTGTAGCTCCAAACTATCACATAGCTTCGACACCCGTGATAATCTAAGTCTGTCAGAGAAAACGCATTCTAATATTCAAAGGTTTTTTATGGTCCATACATACATATATGCATTAATTGAATACATGAATCATTGAATCAATGTTGCTTATGCTATACTTCTCACTATATTGAGCAAAACAGGTCAGCAAACAACTAAAGTTACATATTTTACCATTCAAACTCCATTACATTAGCCATTTCAAATGTATGCATACAGACAACAACACACAATCCTAAATGACAACAAAATGCACTATGTTCCAGAGTTAAAATTTGACAGAGATAAGGATGTCTTATAACATAGTATAAAGTCTAGCATTGTATAAATAAGGAGAATTTCAACAGAATCAAACTGGGAAAAAAAAAAAGATTAAATAATACCTCAGGCAACTCCTCTAACCTTATCAAGACTCTATCAGCTTGTGGCACAACCTGCAAGCAAAGACAACAAATCCCACTTAAATTCATTGTTTTCCCATAAAATTTAACCAGAAATCAACCACCAACTCGGATAAAACTTGGGAAAAACACAGAAAATTCAAGGAAGCGTTGGGGGAGATGATATCAAAGCAAAACCTTTGTGGGTTCCCATTTTTGGGAAAGGGCATTAACTCTCAGAGAATTTCTCCTCAGACCTATTCCTTCAAAACCAAAAGAAGAGCATGAAAAACAAATTTTTTGGATAATGCCCAAATAAAAAGGAATAATTATTGACTAAGTTATGGGGTGTAAAGAAAATACCAACGGGTCTGGGGGCGGGGGATAGAGAAGGGATGTTAATTGGTTGAGAAGTAAAGGGTTTTGCTAAGGAAAGAAATCCAGACGCCATGGATAAGGAAGGTGCAGAGAGATGAAACTATTGCAGGGAGAGTTGGGAAGTTGCGACGGAGAGCTGAGGAGTCTAGAGTGTTCCAAACTGGGTTTTATGAATTTAGCAGCATCTAGAAAGCATCCAGGTTTTAAGGTTCTGGTCGTTCGCACGTTAAATTTGGGCCTAGAAGAGATTAAAGCGGCCCAGAAAACGATGCAAATTGCAACAGTTGTTATACCATGGACCAGGTCCATCCCTGGTCCTAAACGACGTATAAAGAAACGACGTATAAATTTGTATTTTTAGTATTGAAGTTGTGAACTTTTAGAATATAAATTGTGTTTTAAGTTAAAATAAGGAGAATTTATGAATACAATACATGGTCATTAAATCCTAATTTGTTAATATTGTGTGACAGTAGTATTTGAAAGGAACTTGTGAATACAAAACAAGATAATTAATTACATATATGTTAACATTGTGTGTTTCTAGTATACAAATTGTAAATTTTGAAAGGTAAATTGTGAACATTTAGATCCGGGTCCACCTTGGATCCACAGAATAATTTGTGATCTTGCAATCCAATTACAATTGGCGGGGAACATGATTCTTGTACAAATTATGAGTTCAATTCTTGTCAATATTGTTTTAGTTAAGTCCAATGTATACGATTTTCTTAGTGTAACTTATCTCTTGTGGTAAAAGGTGGAATCCCCCATCCTACTTAGCTACGCGCCCCATATTCCAGACCGATAGGATTGTATAAAGGCAAATCATAGTAACTCAACTTATCAATATAAGCTAAATTTTTGCTCTTTGCGCATAAGAAGCCTCCGTTATTTCTTTTATGATTTTTAAACTATTATACATAAACATAATTTATCTCCCGTACACCTTCAAGTAGTGATCCTGAACTTTTTAAATTTTTGAAAAAAAAAATAGTTTGATTAGGAATACTACACTTTGTCCAACAATAGGCGTGGTTCCAGCTTCCAATCTCATACTAATATTATGTTGCAAACGTAACCAAGCAAAAATTCCCAAAATCTCATAGCTTCATATCATCCAATTCAAATACATATTTACTTCTTGATGAATGTGTTTGATAAACGCACCAAATATTGCTTCAATAAGTTCCTAATCCCCACAAACAAATGAAAGTTAAGTAAGGATATCATATTAAGTCACTATATTCCATTTTCATAATAATCACACTCGAATTATTTTAAATTTTAACATACAAAAATTTGTATCCCAACACAAACTAAGCTTGTAAATTGTAATCAATAACTTATAACTGTACTACTATACTAATAGTAACGCTCACACTTTTAAATGCTCGATCTCTTGATAGTGTCAATATGCACCAAAATAACTCTGTAATTTTTTGAATTCTTATTCTTGCTCATCATTGATTTCTAGCTAAGCAAAAAGTGAAGAACTTTGAAATTTATCAATGAAAATGGGAAGGAATTTCAATGGTACTGGGGTCTGCTGACACTAGTAATTACTAATTAGATGTCATTAACGACAATGAGAATGTGATTTATCAAAATATATTGGCTATAATGATTCCCAGAAAGAAACCAATTAACAGCTAACTGGGACCACCTTCTCTTCTTTTCTTCCTCGATCTCTGCTAACACTCAATAATTTGACTTATTTCTTGTCTACAACAGTACAACTATCACCCCAAAAAAAAACCCATTTTTTAAAAACCCCATTTTTCTCTGGTTAAAAGAAACCCCTTTTTTGACCCACATTTCCCAGAAAAGAACCCACTTTTTGGGCTTAGGTCTGGTGATTCTTCTTTGGCTGGTGGCTTAATAGCCTGGTTTTTTAGGATGGTGAAGAGGATTTGCTGCTTTCAGAATATTGTTCTCTCTGGGCTTCTTCTAGCTGTTCTAGTGTGTTCCAAGGACCATGGTAAGATCACATTTCCTTTTTTTTTTTTTTTTTTTTTTTTTCCTTCTGCACTCATTTGTTATTCTCATTGATAGTTTGTTGCTTGTATTTGTTATGGTTACCTGAAGATCTATTATGGCTGCCAGTTTTTCTTAGTATGATTGATATGTTTGAAAACAGCCTAGTTTTGGGTGGGCATTTTCTTGCTTTTTAGCTGCTTGGGGTATCTGGTAGCTAAGTAGAGGATCTGAAGTGATAAGTTTCAGATGAGGAAGAAAACCAGCCTATGATGGGTAATAGAGTTGCACATTTTTTTATTGTGACTAGAAAAACTCGCATTCATTACTTTAGGGTGTATTTGGTAAATCCCGCCTTGTATCCTGGCCAACAAAGGGCCACAAGGAAACCAACATAGGTTAATTTCGCCTTGTAACTCTAGTCGGCAAGGGGCCACAAGGAAACCATATTAGGTTGACCGGCTAAAATAAAAAAGACACTTGTAAACCTCGCCTTGTAACTCTGGCCGAAAAAAGGATCACAATGAGGTAAACCAGAATATGTTGTCGATAGCTGACTGGTTTAAACCAAGAAGGCTGATAGACCGCTCCCACTGGGAGTCTAATTTGAAACCTTGTAGTTATCAAACTAACAGCCCGACTGGTATTGCCCCAATAAAGTTGGCACCTTTGGTTAGCTTATATGTTGCTTTTGAATTTGAGGAAGACTAGTATTAAACAGGAGAAACTTCCATGTGAATTGCCCATTGCTGTGAATGTGACTATCAGTGTATGTTGAAGATGGAAGAAGTGTTTACTTTACACCTTATTACTTCATGTAGTTTGAAGCTATGGATAGCTTAGACAGTGTGTCTAGATATATATAGGTGTATCGTTCTTGTTAATAAAACTGTGCGTATTGTATTCTGTTCCATATATCCTCCTCGATATCAGCCCGCATATTGGTTCTGCAAACCCTCTTAACCTCAAGAGTTCAATCCCCGTTGCAGATTTACCAAAAGTTAATAAGTTTTTGGGCATTGCGTGGATAAAAACTCTGCTTTAGGATAGATGGTTATGGCTGTTTCCATTGTGCAGGGAATTCTGCAAACGATCTAGTTGAAATCATCAACAAAAACCGAACAGCTCAAAAGCTTCCCGAATTAGGCACCAGTCCCGGCCTCGGGTGCATTGCCTTGCAATACGTGAAGGAATGCTTAGAGAATTGCACTGCTACTAACACCGTAACCTGTAGGCCTTCAGAAGACGACTTCACTGAAATTTTCGCCCCGAATTGTGGTGTGGAGCTGCCAACTTTCGGGACAATATCGGGGCGCATTGTTGGCTGCCAAAAAGACTATCTCGCCCCTTCGGAAGCCTTCTCACGTGTCCTCGTTCATGACAGAGGCACGCTCTCCCTTCTGAGGAACAGAACTCACAGTGAAGTCGGGGTAGGCATAATCAAAGCTCACAAACGCAAAGGGCCATACTTTTGGTGCGTTTTATTTAGTAGCGGGAAGAGAAATTCCACGTTCGTTCTAGACGATCTTGGCGAGGGCATCAAGCAGAAGACGGGATGCTATAGCGGAACCAACACCCCGTGCAGCAGTGCACACAAACACGGTATGCACAACACAATCTGGTTTACGCTTTTGCTACATTTTACCTCGTTAGCACTAGTTTCCCCCGGGATTACCCCAAGAATGTGAAAATCCCGCAATTTCCTTATAAATGTCTTCCCAAAAGAACAATCGAAAATTCCACAATGCAAGTTTTGACCCCGTTTTTTTCTACTTTACGATTCATACTAGTTTTAACCGTTTTTATCTTCTTGCAACAACTAAAAAAGCTTATGGTTCTGTTGTCCAACCTTGTTGTAACCGAGAAGATGGAGCAGTTACGTTGTAGTCCACCCGAACAGGAATACGAGAAACATAAACCTAAGAAACTTGTAATGGAAACCTTAGTCATCACTAACCAGAAAAAGACATTAAAGTGAAAGAAAGCTTGAGAAAAGAGTGGTGTTCTTAACTAATACTCCTTGCTTGAGAAGAAAAGTTGTTGGACCAATTCACTTTTGTTTTGTCTGATATCTCTTATGCCCTTTAGCTTTGAGAATTTTGGAAAGGTTGCTAATGAATTTGGAAAGCTTTTTTGTGTTGTTAGATCAACTCTTGTGTTTTTCAGTTCTTGTATGTATATATCACTGTATAGTAATAATAATAATATATATAATCAGGATTAGATTATAACTAGTAGCTCCATGAGAATGTACATATTACGTTCATCCGGAAATGTATACTCGGGGTATCACTCTAAAGTGAATGGTAAAAATATTGAGTTTGTACCAAAGCTTACAAAGAGACTGGATGCCTGTAGCCCCCCTCGTGGACCGCGGTTTAAACGGAGTGTGTATTTTTGTGTGGGTTGAAACTACAGTGTATTTAAATCGATACTGTCTCACGTATTATTTTATATATTATTAAATGAAACTGCGGTTATATCAAAATAATACTGTAGTTGTGGTCAAATAAAACTGCAGTGTATATAAAATGAAACTGAATAACATTTCACATATTTGAATGTATATTGTGCAATGAAGCTGTAATTATATCGAAATGATCATGTAGTTGGGTTTTAATGAAACTATAGTGTATATAAAATAAAATAAAATAACATTTTCACACATTTGAGTCTATAAATATCGAATGAAACTGTAGTTGTGTTGAACTGAAACTGAAGTGTATACAAAATGAAACTGAATAACAGAATTACTTTTTTGCGGAAGGGTGTGAAACACCGTGAATCGAATGTTGTTTCTTTTTATTAAACAAAGCGATATTATTTTGAAGTTTGGTGCATAATCGATTATGTATTACGACTCTCTCTATATATATAACTTGTTTTACCATAGTACAATACAAGTTGTCTGTAATAAATTATCATCAATTCATCATAAAACTAATATGGGCCTACTGCAGGACTTATCAGCAGACAATTAATTCTTCTTTTTGACTTTCCTCTTCTGAATTTATTTATCTTTATTTTTTTTTCATTTTCTTTTCAATGAGATTGAGAGAAAGCTTAAAACTTGCATCTGCTTTACTATTTAGGTCATTAATATTCAAAAGTAATATATTATCCACATAAATATTAATGGAGTTTTTACTATATCATACAATAATATTTACCATGCTTCAAATAGTAATGTATTTATTGAAGAAAACTTTCATTTTCCTAAATTAAAAATAGAGTCTCGGTGGGCCCATTTAAGAGGCAGTTCTCTTAAGGGTATTGCTGCATATACATGAGTTCGAATCTCAGGAAACATAGTTATTTCACGATTATGGTATGATATATATTATACACAACCATAATAATATAATCCTTACCATTCATCAATGTGATTAAGACAATCTTTTAAAAGTAAAACTTAGAAAAAAAAAGTTTAGTTTGTGTTGATTTAATCTATCCAAGGAACACAACTCTCTACCTATACTAATCCAAACAAGTTGGTAATGGACAAGATCAATATAATCAAGGATCATAATCACCATCACCCTAATTAGCTAAAAGAAAGACCAAATTAATGTAATTAGCAAAGTTTAAGAATTGAGTCATCACTGTCTGGAAATCAAAAGGGTTTTGCAGAAAGAAAGAGAGGAGTTTGGTGGACGAATTTCACTTTAATTTTATCTCTTTCTGAGACTTTATGGGCATTATATTGGAGGCAGACAGATGGTTCTTGCATGCGTGCAGGGCAAGTAAAAAATTTGGAGAGAAAAAAGCAAATTAAAGTCCAACTCATTATCATGCTTTTGTTTAGGTTAATGTTGTTTGATCAACTGCTTCATTCTCATCATCTTCCTCAATCTTTTGCACTACTTGGTTTGTTAGGAATGGGTGTTAGTTTGACCAAAACTTTAAGAAATTTATGTCTTATTGGATCAATACAAAAACCGTCCACTAAGATTTAAGAAAGATGATTGTGAACCGTATTATCGAGATCAAGTCAACCCTAAATTATTTTGTATTTTCGGGCAAAAGATATAAATTACGGTGACCGTATCATCGAGATCAAGTCAACCCTAAATTATTTTTTGTTTTCGGGCGAAAGATATAAATCACGGTGACCGTATCATCGAGATCAAGTCAACCCTAAATTATTTTGTGTTTTCGAGCGAAAGATATAAATCACGGTGACCGTATCATCGAGATCAAGTCAACCCTAAATTATTTTGTGTTTTCGGACGAAAGATATAAATCACGGTAACTCAAAGACTGAGCAGGTAGACATGACTAAATATCGGTACGATGTTCAAACCTTGATCTCTTCTTCAAAATAATGCCTACTGAATCAATGAGTTAAACTCCTCAAACTCTTTGCTAGTGTTTAGTGTCTACTTTGGACTTTGGTGTTTCGCCTAATGTTTTCATTAAAAAAAAAAGGTATAAATTATACTCCGTAATTATTTTTAATAGTAAGTTGAAATATGATAAAAAGATAAGAGCACGTAGGTGTCACTATCTGCCTAGGTATGAAAGATCTAGGATGTAGGACACTAGGCAAGACAAATTAAAGATCCATGTTTGAAGGGAGACCTGATTTTTTTTTTTTTAAATTAAATTAAATAGAATTAAACGAAAATGATTAGATACAGTTTGGACCCCAAAAAAATGGATAACCTAATAATGTAACAATGTGGAGGAATTGATGTCACATGTACAGAGCGGACGATGAAGTTGGTAGGTGGAACTAGAATGTCAAAATTTCTGTCCCGAAAAGAGTGATTGAGTAAATGAAGTATGATTCTCGTATTTAAAATTATAAGTTTAATTTTTATCAAACATTCTTTCAGTCAAGTCCGTTACATAGAGTCTTTTAATACAATTTGTCTCTTTTATATGATTTACAAGTTATTATACAGGAGCGAAATTTATCACATACACACTATTTAGTAATAACTATGAATTGTTCTCATCATTTAAAAAATTAAATTCCACAAAAGAATAAAAAATTGCTAGCAAGAATCAATAGGGCACAATAACATAAGTGAAATAGCATAGAAGAACGAAACAGGAATTATTAAATATTACATAAAATAATATAATGATGATTTCATGTAATTAAAGAACATGACAACATCACAGGTAGAATTGGATAGATTAAAGTAAAGATAAGATTGTCCTTAAGTCGAGGTTTCGTTTTCCAAACAATTAATAAAACTTTGAATTTTAATTTTATGTGCATAATAATTTCCTCTTTTAGAAAAAATAATCTTGTATTGAGGGTAAAAATATAATTGATATATCCCAAACAATTTTTTAATCAATGACCAAATTTGAAACGAAATCAATAATTTGATAAATTTAAAGTCAAAGATAAAAAGAAAAAAATGCTAATAGTCTAAATAATATTTCTAAAATTAACTCTAAATAGTGACAAGTTAGTCATAACTCGTAGTTAATTTCAATAACTAATGTCCAAAATTTGACCCCTCCAACATAAATTAACTTAAAAAAATTTTAAAAAAAATTCACCGACCTTATAGTTAGTCATGAATTAACTAATGTTCCAAATTTAACCTATTAATTCTGTGTGAGAGCTGCTTATGTGTATTTTTAGTTTGAGACTACTTTGAGTTGGTCAGTTATGAACAACTTAGGCTATTTATCTTCTTATGTTCTTTTACCACTTAAGATTACAAAGTGATTAAACTTCATCAAAAGTGTACATTTAATTAGCGGTTGCGAAATTTTTGCGTAAATTAAGGAAAAAAAACTCAAAATCACCTAAATTACTCTTTAACTTATTTAGAGTTGTCCAAAAATTAATGAAATCAATAAATTATCACCTATGTAGGTAGCCCACATGGTGGCATTATATTGCAAAATGAATCATATTTGGTAGTTTGGTGTTGATAGTAATGGAAGGGCAAAATGGGAACAATACATACAATAGCGTAATGACACTAATTAATGACCAAACTTTTACAGCTAAAGTGGAGTCGTATTAAATAATATAATACCCTTTTCCCTTAAATATATCACCATTATAATACCATTACTCCTCCATTAGTCAAAGTATAAATGGCCACCATTTATAGTAGTAGTTGTATGGATTATGGATATGGAATGAAAAATCACTATTTATTATTATTATTATTATAAATCAAAAGTACAATATATTCATGTAGAACCATAATTAAATTATTAGTGAGAAAGATGTTAGTATATTAGTTAAATTTTATCGATTGTGAAGAACTTAATTAATATTTTATAATATAAGTTAAAATAGAGATGGCAGATAATTAAACACACGAAACGTCTCGTTATATTGATAAGACATTTTTGCCCGTCAACCAGCAACTCAACGTTCTTCTTTGTCAATACAAAGGATGGGATAACATTCCAAATGTTATTTAATATATGGCAATTTGCTTCGGGTTTTGGTTAACTAACTGGGCAATCCTTGCATATGAAACTTTGACCTTATCATCTCCACCTTCACAAGTGATGTTTATGGGAAGCTAAAGCTATAATATTCATTAATTAATTGACCAAATTCATGAATGTAAAGTTCAAACTAAGTTTGATAAAATTAATGCCAAAACTATTCAGCATTTCAGCCCCATCCAAGATTGAAAAAATCACTAGGCACTCAGAGAACGCCTAGCGCTTAAGCGTCGATTTTTTATTTTTATTTTTATTTAAAAAAAAAAATTAGTTAAATCCCGCCTAGGCCACGGCAACCTACTCGCCGTCCAGGCGACCGACCGCCTAGAACGGCCATTCCGC